CAGGTCCCTGGGGAATTTTGAAAGGTCCCTGGGAGACTTCACAAGCCACTGGACGATTCCTTTGAAAGATCTCGGCCAAATTCTTGACAGTCTCTGGGAGATTTAAAGGTCCCTGGGCGACTTTGAGAGCTCCCTCAGAGATTTTGAGAACTCTGTGAGAGTGTTTGAAAGGTCCAGCTGGTGATTTTGAAAGGTCCGCAAGAACATCTGGAAGGTCTTACCGGACTGACGAGGGCGCCAAGGCATTGCACAATGAAGGGACAGTTATGACTCTTCAAGACTACCTCCAGATCCATCAGTATTCTCTTGTTCTCCTCCTTGTTCCCTGACCGCCTCATTTGCTGTAAGGAGGAGAACTTGCAGGATGTCAATCCAAATTCCTACTACGTGTATTCGCAAGTCTGTGACCTGACCCTCCCTGTCAAGCATTCTACAGTCATTTGCCAAAGTTTATGACCACCTTGAATTTCATTGGTATTTGTGTCACTGGTCCTGCATTACACTGTGTCACTGAATGATTACTTAACATGATTTTACAGTGGTGCATAACATCAGTGTAGTGCTATATACCCATTTGAATGGATTTTGTTGCCAAGGCAGGTCTTGTGTGACATTGTTTGCAAGGCAGCATGGGTAAAAAAAAGCCAGTCTAAGCAATCAGAAACAAGGGAGGGCACACTGAATATTAGACTGTTAACGTGTCAAATCATGGAAATGTAGTCAGAAATGTTCAACCAAGGTACCAAGGTTACATATTGAGAATAAACATAAGTTGCCATGATTGATTGGTTTAAGTTTGGTTTTCCTTCAGGTAAATGCATTTTCTATGGGTGGTCCTAAACTTTTGGAAATGACTGTATATTTATAAGCAAATGGATTCTGTGAGGGGATCTAACAAGCCTATCAACAGGAGGGTTTATGCACTTGTTTCCCATTTGATGCCCAGGTAGGCATACCTCAACTGTTCACATTTCTCACTTCACACACGCATAATTTTCAACACATGCAGTTACGTTGCAGGCCTGTATTCTTGATTGATTATGAAAATAACCAGCATTTGACAGGGTCAGAGGGTGGAATAAACATAAACATTTTTGTTTTTTCTCAATAAGCATTATATTCAGAAAAATGATCTGTGGAACATGTAGGCCTGTATTTCGCTCTACTTACATGTACATGTATGTTACACGTAAAGCTACGCAAAAATGTGAAGATTAGTATCAAATCTGAGTGTAAGCGAGATTGGCTGAGCACCATCGCAAGTTAAACTTGCAAAACCATGGAACTGCCATTATATGGAGAGCTACATGTAAATGTATGCCTTCAGGTATCCACTAGCTTGCAAAACCTGACTATTAATGCTGGCAAGTAAATGAGATTTGGGAGGATTCAGATTTTGGCAGGTGCTTTTGTGCCTTCTGATTGATCATTTGACTGATTCAGAGTAAAAAAAAAAGGAAGGGGGCTGGCACTGTACTGCAAACAAGATGGCTGCTACGTTCACATGTTGAACTTACAACAACTTATCTTGCATCAGCCTCGCGTCAATACATACCTTAACTGCTACGATGGTTCTTGTCTCCTTGTGTCTCATTCGTATTACATGACCACAGCTGCCAAAGCCCAGCTCGTCTATTGCCTCCAGTGAGTCTATATTGAAAGGCACACGCTGGAAAGGAATCAAATGCCACAAACCAATTAGAATTACTACTGTATGTAAGGAATGTATGTATGTAATTAGAGACAAGCACGGTGAAGGGGCACTTGAATGCACAAGGATTTCTCCCTTTGGTTTGGTTTCATGTTGACACACCATACTTTTTAGTGCACCTGTGGTCTGCAACTACCTGGAGCAAAACCTGCACAAGGCACATGCACATATATGTATCCTCCACAGCACAATTTAAACTTTTGACCAATTAGTGTTTTTCTCTGCTGCTCTAGGGCATTCAGATATGTACATAAAAACCTTCCTTCTCAATTTGTAGGCAAGCCTCGTGCTTAAGGATTTCTGAACCAGCCCAAAGGGCTAGTAAATTGAGTTTTTTACTAGCCCCCAACAAGTTTTACTAGCCCTATATACACTGTACATGTAACATGTATAATATTGAGTTTAACATGAGATTAATCCTAACCCTCCAAAATCCTTTTCTGCAAAGTGGAGGAATTGGAGGATTCATGTGTGTAGCAAAAGTGCATGGCTGATTTTGAAGGATGCCATACGTGAGGGTCATGGATTAGACCTTAGGTTGTTTGTGCTTAGTCAAGCACAAATGCAGCCTGATATTTCTTTTGAATCAACTGCACAGCTCAAGAGTACCATTCACAATGCCTCAACATAATGACAGGAATTGCCAGAGGATTTTGAAGGTTTTGGGCAGTTAGGCACACCTCCAAATGACATTTTCAAGAAATTTCGGAGGATCTTGAAGGATTTGGGCTGAACACAATTTTTTAATGTTGAAAATTGGAGGATTTCGGAAGATTCAGGATGGTTCCTAGTACAAAGGGTGGGGGGGGTTAGGGTTAATCAGACACTGACTCACTGAGTTTAATTAAGAGATCATCAATGAATTTATTGCAACTTCTTATTTATACAAGTTCCAGATCTACTCTTTGCTTGGTGTGGAACCTGTTTAGCCACCTGTGATTATGTCATGAGACAAATTAATATAAACACCACGATTATGACTATTTCATTTCACCCCTCACCCAAGTTACACAGATGGTATTCTGAAACCCTTTTAAAGGATTATGAAATGAATTTAATGCAAACACGTGCCTCGATGGCCTTGTCTACGTAGGCAATCCGCGCTGCAACCGATATCCGACCAATCACAGCACCGCATTTGCCGCACCTACATGTATTCACATATCTAAACTCGTTCAGAGTCTAGCAATATGAGTCTGGTTCTGTAACCCAAACATATGCTGGCATTGGGTCAGGGAGACGACTGTGATGACCCGTGTGTTGATCGTTGGTCTCACATGTGCATAATGCATATATGCGATGCATACATTGTTCACACGTACATGTACGAAAGCGCAAGCATTGTGAGTATTGGCAGTGCAGGTAGAGTAACTTACTGTACATACAACGTGCATGTACGTACATGTACGTCTACCGTACGCGGCATGCACATTGTACCGGTACAGTCAGCTCGACGACGCAGCGCATGTGCTGCGTGCACCGCGTACCGCTGTCTACTTTTTACTAGTCCGCCAGGCTGGTTACTGTAAGTGGTGCATCTGACTAGCCCGTGGCTGTTTTCACTAGACAATGGCCGTAGGGCTAGTGCTGAGGTACATGTAGAACCCTGGCAGGGAAAAAAATCCATTTTTTGACATACATGTATGTGACCGGCTCCAGAAAACGTGGTAGCAAGTGGCTAGATTCAGGTTATGAGTTTTTGATATGGCTGGATTCTGTACATCAAAAGCTACAATTTGATGTATGAATGCCCCCTGCAGTGCGCTGCTTTCTGGAGATATGAGCATTTATATCCACATTTTTGGATTACATAAAATTTCATCAAGTGTAGGCTTTGAAAACACAATGCTACATGTACTGGTATATACATGTACATTGTGGGATTTCCTACTGAATGATCACTTTTCATCTTTATGCATCAGTATCCATATTTGTAGTCACATATTCTGAAAATATAAATATTATAGAAAGTTTTAAAGGAAAAACCAAAAAACCTCGTTTTGAAGAAACTTTGCCCTCTCCAAATAGAACAAGCCATTACATGTTTTGGCATTGCGCGACTTATTACCCTTTTTTGCAGAGCAGGTCACATGTGTATGGATCCACACCCAACAAAACTGGGGTATCAAGTACAATTAATTTCAGGACTTGAATTTCAACTAGAAATCTACAGGTGCCAGACTAAACTAAGGCACGGACGTGTATAATAAAATCTGGACTGGCAATGCCCGCCTTTGTTCTTCTTGACGTCAATAGAATGGAGCCAACCCACGCATTTGTATTCGGCTCGGTAAAATGGCCGCTGGTTGGCTTCTTTTTCATACAAAGGCGTTGCAAGTCCAGGGTTTTTTTATACGTCCGTGAACTAAGCACATACATGTACATGTAAATGGAGGACTACAGTATTACTTCATTGTACGTGTACACTGTACATGTAAAGCGAACATTCTTTACAATGTCAGAATCACTTTTACAAGATTGATGCAGGAATGCATGTGGACAGATGGTGGGGGGGTGGAGTTACAAAAGGGGATGAAGTTTCATTGGTAACAATCACAACTTGTCAGAGTGACTCATCCTTTTCTAACCTTGACCAGAATCTGTTTCCCCCAATAAAAATGTTCCAAGGGTACATTTCACTGCATTTTCATGCCACAGCAGTCTACCCAAGGACTTGACTCAACGTACACTCAATGCCTGACAGCAGGCATCAGAATGGTACCAGTAGCCTACTTTTACAAATATTGCATGTCATATATATGTGAACATGTACAGCAGTTTGTTCATCTGCTCCTACTGGTAGTACTTTAGTCAAACCCCTTGGCCATGTTGGCTCGAAATGCTGGCCAATGCGTCAAAATTGGTGTTAAGAATTAACTTGCTTTCTTACAATAAGCACACCTTGTTCAAACCACTATTTATATTTAATACCTCCCCTCATTGTGTTATGTCAGCATGTAAAGCAGACAGAGGTTATCTGGCCCAATCTTAGTCATACCTGTGGGTTTCTCTTTTAGCCTGTCGCGCATAACTGGGACACCAAAAAAGGTGGTGTCCGTGTCACACCTGACAGGAATGATCAGATTTCCAGAACCCAACCTTATTATTCAATCAAAATCATTTCAAAGTCATTTCCTCCATTTTCGCACAACCCTTTACATGGGTGTGCGTACTTGATGGCCGGCTCCTTTCAGAAAGGCCCAGGAGCAAATATCCTCCCTAGCACTGCGAGAGTTCGCCTTACTCTTCCACTTTTAGTTAACACCACATGTGCATGTAGGTGCGTTTGGCAGATGGCCCTTCTACGTGCACTGTTGCAGCCATCAAATGTCAGATTGACTGACATTCTTAAGACTTGAAACCAGTACTTACAGTTTTCATGTTTCTGTTTCCTGAAAGTACATGTAAGTAGCCCTGAGAGTATTTGAAATTTACAAGGAAATACCCTGATGCTGTGCTGTACACATCTGACTTAAATCTGCAAAATACAAGTACACATAAATTGAAGGAAGAGGAAACACCAGCAAAAAGCCGCTGAGATCCTGCAAGTCGCCATGTTTTAGGCCAGGTCACAGCAGAATTTAAATGTTTGACATTTTATCCAAGTGCCAAAAGTGATTTGGAAATAAACTACTCATACAATTCCTGGACCACAAACTGGCTCTCTAAAGACAGCTGATTATTGATGTTTGGTCATTAACTTGTTATGCCTGATTTCAACGGTTCCAGAAAAAGTTCTGGCCCCTGTGCTATTCTGGGTAAATTTTGATAGCAAAATTGTTCCATTAATTTTGTTACTTACATGTACATGTATGTTTGCATTTAACGTTCACTTCTACTTACGGTTTATTTCAGGGTGACATTACCAGAAACAGAAGCATAAATGGATCCAACGCCCTCAGTAGGAAAACATGCCGGTACATGTACATGACGTCTGTGCCATGCAACAAAACCCAACTTTGCCAAGTTGCATTCTGTTGTACATGTATTGAGCAATAGGCAAGCCAATATTGAAATTGAATGTTATTTTCTTCCAAATTGCGGGGAGCAAATCCCGTACATGTAGGCCTGGACACTGCACGACAAGTGGGTTTACTGAGAACATTATCATGTACATTGTAGGCCTACTGGTATACATGTATGTACATGTAACGTAAAGTTGCCTCTGTAAGGGCTGAGGCCAACCTACATCACATGTACATACACTGTACCGTACATGTATGTACATGTACGTGTAGCATTCCAATACTGTATGCAAGAGCTTGATGAATCACATAGGTTGATGACAGTATGACAGACATACTTGTGCATGTACATGTACACACATGTCCCATGGAAAGATGTACATGTCAAAGTGAGTGTATGATGCATTGCTACAAGTACACACAGGCTGTTGTGTACATGTACATGTACGGTACATGTGCATGTACGTACAGTGTACATGTACATTATGTGTATGCTTCATGTACATGTACATGTCCCCTGTATGTACATGTACACACCCCTAGTGTGCTGGGGATTGGCTGCCATTAGCTGCATCCTCTTTCTTCATTGGTCCAAGGTGCACACACGGGATGTCCACTTAAAACCAATCAGGCAACATCCTATGGGGGGAATCGGGGGAGGAACACAGCTCTACTCCCTGCACGGGTTGGTACCGGTGCCCCTGCCGACCACGCCAGCATCTGTCTCTTCAAGGCGTTGAGACTTTCCAGCTTTCCCCCTTAGTCTCCCCCCCCCTCCCCTTAGCACACTGGCGACAAGACAGAGATCAGACCTGAAAAGGGTGGCAGACTTTTGTGTGTTTGCATTTGTCCTTCATGGGAAAATAGTGCACTGTGCAGTGCTAAACCTCATCTTCTTTTATGATCCCAAATTTGTCTGGGGGCCAATTTCATAGAGCTGCTCAAGCACAAAATTTGCTTGGGCGCGAGAAAACTCTGCTTACAAAATCAGGTCACCAGCCAAAACTCCATGTAATGAATATTGTTTTGGGATCATATTTACCTGTCATTTGGTTAGCATGACAATCAGATAGAGTTTGAGCTAGTGACCTTTGTTTTTTAAGCAAGGTTTTTTCACGCTTAAGCAAAGTTTGTGCTTAAGCAGCTCTATGAAATTGGCCCCTGCAGGTTTGTTGGGTTCCAAGCATAGTGCTTCTCTGTCTTTCCTCACAAATGTACATGTAAGTTGTTCAACATTAGTCCAAAGTCCACAGCCCCCGGAAGTATCCGTAAGATTCCGTCAAGGTCACAAAAAATTACCCAGCAATATATTCAACTCCCTAACATTTGTACGCCATGAATATGAAGGAACCTTCCTGTAAGTCCCTCAAGACCTTCCCAAAACACACCGCTGTGCAGGAAACTTCTCTGCTTAAATTTTCAATGCCGATCAAGTTCCATGTCATGGTAACCTGGCTGAATCTGGGAAGATCCTCCAAAACAATTCGTGTATTTCGGAAGATATGGGAGCATGAGGGTAAATGTGACCCAACATCCAAAAACCAGACGGAATAAAGTGCTATTTTGAGGCTGGACACTCTCCAAAGTGATCCAAATTTTAGAAGAAATTTGGTCTGTAGATATTCAACAGATGTGGCATTTATATTGTTCATGTGTACAAAGTACTGACGTGTGCGCATGTGGATACATGTACATGTATTGCTATCACACACATGTACATATTCAGATTATGGTTCCAATTCTTCAGCCTAGAATGGCGAGTCCCGCATTCCCAAATCAAGCGAGTTTAGACGCTACGGTACCTGAGACATTACCTAGTCATATACATGTACATGTAAGTACTGGTGTAACTGACACAAAGGCAAGACTGCTCAATCAATCTACACATGTACCCCGATCAAGGTATACAAGTGTACACAATCACAGCCGCAGTACTTGGGGGAAATCCCCCCACTCAGCGCCAATTTCTGTCAAGCCCCCATCGGGCTTCCACCCTAAGCCAACTTTCTTTGGTGTCTACACTTCTACTGCCCTCCAGACCAGGACTGGAAATTAAACCTGACAGGCCAATTATGTTAATAGTCACTTAGGATCAGTCTACAACTTCCCTGGACTAGACCTGTGTGCACAGTCACTCTCTGCCAGGCTGCCAAATGAGCTGGCTGGGGGGGGGAGGGGGAAGGGAATCTAGTTGGTGGGTGTTTTTTTTGTATGGGCCTGTTGTTGACGTCATAAATCAATTAGCAATGCATGCTTGCTTTAAACAGGGCTTAAAAACCTTGGACATGGTCTACTTGTATACTAAGGGGCTTCAAATCAAACGATTTGCAGGCTGACTTCATTTCCTTGCACTTTACACAGCAGAGTAAAAAAGAAAAAAAACAACGAAATCTTGCATGACTTGCAGAGAACTACATGTACATGTACATGCAAAGTTGGTACACTTCGGTATATCATATACTGTACATGTACACGTAGATGTACAATAGGTCTTGGTACCCTGTACAATTTTGTACATGCATCTGCCTGTGGTAATTCTATACAACTGCGAGCACAAGTGCCCCTTATCTTCTTCACTGCAAAACTTTCAAGGAATCTGAAACTCGTGGACACACAAGCAACTCCAAAATAAAACACATTATTTGGATAATGGACATGTACAGTGTACACTGTAGATGAACATTAATCATGTTCATTCACATACAACATTTACATGTATACTCACATGTACATGTACATAAAGACTGTACATGTACATTAACAATGCACCATTGGCTGAACGTACAATGTAGATGAGACTACCACGTTTTGGTCCTTTCTTGTTTTCTTGGTCGTCCATTGTCCTTGTACTGGACATTGCAACTTGGCTGTCACACTGGAAACCGTTGCTCAGAACACTCTCCCCATTATTCAGGCCTGATTTAAGCACATGTATGTTCTTTAAAATGTATGCTCGAAATGTGCATTAAAGGTTGTCAACATGGGGACCCATGACACATCTATATGAAGCTACGAGCCGAGTCCACAAGGCCAATGACAAAGCAGAATCCCGATAATATCTGGCTGGCCCGGTTGACAACACACAAGATTCTGTCTGACCTTAAATGGCATCACTCCTTGTCTACATGTACACGTGCGCTTTCCTGCCAGGGTTCCATGGATCGTGTTTCACCTCAATGCCATAGGAAAGCTCACGTGGACAGGTAAACAAAGCATGACATCATGATCATACGTCTATCAGCAGAGGAACATCTTGTGGTTCAAGTATAGTGATCATCATGTAAGTCTTGTTTCATCCAGAATTGCTTACTGCGCCGCTACATTATAGTCCTTAACCCTAACCATCATCAATCCTTCAAAATCCTCTGGGCCGTTTTGGAGGATTTTGGAGGACTGAGGCTGCATGGTAAAATTGCATTGCTGATTGTGAAGGGTGCACTGTCTCAAGGTTGTGGATTAGGTCTACTTGTCTATGTTCAGCCATGAATAAATTCATGCCTACATTATGTGTGAAATCCTCCATACTGCTACAGGATCCCATTCACAGTGCCTCAACATAATTAGAGGGATTGCTGGTGGATTTTGAATGATTGAGGCAGTGGGCACCCCTTCACAGAACATACATGTATTCAAGAAATATCGGAGGATTTTGGAGGAGTGAGACTGTATCCAATATTTTCACAGTGGCTATTGGAGGATTTTGAAGGATTGAGGATGTATCCTAGCCAAAAGGGCCTTGGCGGTTAGGGTTAATCCTCCAAAATCCACCATTTTCAACGAGATTTCTTGTACTATGAATGACTGAGGGTTAAGAAATCGTGATCAAGATCAATTGCCATCAACCCTGTAAATTTTTCAAGAAACACCTGGTGTTTGAATCATCTCGGTTTATTCTCGCACTTACATTTACCTACCTTCCTGAATCTTCCTGTACATGTACACGATCTCGAGGGATGCACAGTGTCAAGTGACATGGTTAACCCTATCGCTACTAAATGCACCCGAATGCAACAGAGGTATTAAAAGTTTTCTCAAGTTGGTGCATTTTAGCAGGCAACACAAGTCGTCTGGTGGTATGCATTCTGGTGCATTTTAGCAGGCAACACAAGTCATCTGGTGGTATGCATTCTGGTGCATTTAGCAGGCTTGGTGTTTACGCCCTAGCAACTAGTGCACCAGAATGCACTGGTGCAATCCGGTGCATTTAGCAGGGTAGCTAGAGGTACCGAGAGTGACATAAATTAGTTCACTGCACAATGCACCAATATGCACCAGTGCATACTGGTGCATCGTGCAGGGTACCCCTGTGAGGTTTGGTGCATTCTGGTGCATTTAGCAGGGTCCTTGGCAAATACCCCCTGGAGGTTAGGGTTAAGGGTGGAAACTTTTGTTGTTGATGTTCGGCCAAGCCTGAATATACGTCCAGATTGAACTCGCATCATCCCACATAGCTCCAAGTTTATTTGCACCGCCTCAACATGCATGTGTTGACAAGAACAGCTTGAGGTTTGAGGAGGACCAAGGCAGTGGTCACCTCTTCACGGAACATATTCCAGCAACATAGGAGACCAATGAAGGATCGAGGCTGTCTAATTTATACATGCGCATGAACGCGGCGGGAGGAATTTTCAGGACTGAATTTGTAACATAGCAAAAAGGCAGAGAGAGTCAGGGTTAACCACCAATGATACTTACTTTTCCATCTATAGTCAATTTGCCAGTCTGTCGCATGATTTCTTGGAGCTTTCGATCAATCTCTCTGCTACTGGTCAAGAAACAAATATGTATCTTTCAGTGCTAAAGATATTAATGTACAATATATCTTTGTCCGGGTTACTTTTCTCAACAATTCCATTTTTGGAATTTGAGAGCATCGTTGAAAGAAATCCCATAATACATGTTCCGATACCATGTTATTCAACGGCTCACAATTTATAAAGCAGATTACAGGAACAAGATTAAAAGGTCTGTTGACCTTATTTATGGTGACAGCCATTTCTGGTCTGGTTCCCTGAATCTATCATATTCAGTGTAATTTGTTAAGTGGGTTGGTGCCAACCTGTATTGGGTTCCAAGCCTCACTTTCAGTTTTGTTAAATGTGGCTTCAAAATTTTCATAAAATTCATCACAAATTTTAAATTATTTTAAATGTAAGCCGGCATGAATTTGTATGAACTTTTTTGTTGCAGCTATGTTTACTCTCTGAAAATGACAGGTTAACCTCACTTTCAATTAAAGATGGCCAACACAAGAATACAGACTACTGTATTTATGCATTTGACTGATATTTGGGTGTATTCACAAAAAGGGGTCACTAATTTGTGACATGGTGGTAGCATGGTTTGCTCTAAAACAAGAATCGTCTTTTATGGCATTCATCTAAAATAATCACGCTCTGAGCATACACCACGAATAGATGTTAAAACATCCATACCGTACTGGGAAATTTGAAAAAGTCCAGAATTAACATGGAACGCTCTTGAAAACTCAATTCTCCAAAGCATTGTGGCGGCGGCACAAATTATGCCTTCGGCAGCATGTCCCTTTCTGCAGGGTACAATTCTGCGCGATCAGGAAAGCCCTAATCTTATGCTAATGGCATCTTATGCTAATGGGCACTCTCTGAGGTTCAAATGGAACTTGTAAATACTTGACTTGTTAAGCTTTGCATCTTCACAGTATCTTCAGACAGGCGACACTAAATGACACTATTTTAATTGAAGTGCTTTTATTTATTGTGTACCAGTATTTCACTGGAAAACACGTTTGAGGCATGCCTGTGTCACAGATGTGAGGGTCTTTGGGGCCCTGTCATTTACATTTATTTCCAAAAAAAGTTTTCCTCTGAACAAAATAATGTTGTTTTATCTGTGGTGTGCATATGTTCATGTACCAGTATCTTCACCATGTTCACAGGATACCTGGACCCAACCTGCATTATATTAAGCAAACGGTGATTAACTCTTCAGCTAAATGTATTGGTGACCCCTTTTTGTGAACTCAACCATAAACTGCACATCCCCCTGACGCAAATTTTCTTTCCCATTTTTTCCCTCGTACACGTACAATTAAACGTACCTGTCAATGGAGTTCCTCTGAGGAGCAGACGACCGAGGGAAGTTGAAATCTTTGCCCTTGTGCTTTCCACCTTGAACCCCACCCCCTCTTGACGGTGACTGGCCATGATCTGGCAGGTTCAGAGCTGGGAACGAACCAGAGATCATGTACAATTACATGTAGTAGCTTAGGGAAGAAACCTTCATTGCCGAACATCCTGCAACATGTCTATGGGCTTGAAATGAATGAAATCTGTGATGGTGTGGCAAGTACATACTGGTACATGTATCCATGTATGAATCATTTATACACATGTACGCATGTACATGTACGGTACACACATTAACCCTGACAGTCCTGAATCTTCCAATTTTAATATGATTTTGCACACGCCCTAGGGAGTTGTACAAGCATTTGATGTTTGGAAATTGTCCAACAAAAGGGACATACATGTACACGTACGGTCCATGTACTGCACCGTGAGTTGTATGGAAGAAAACGCCTGACTGTCCTTCTGCCGTGCACATAAACATACATGTACACTGTACATGTATTGGTATACCTGTACATTCAGTACATGTACATTGTATGCTGAAGGTACCAGTACGCTTCAAATGAGTTCTAATGTGCGATGTCGAGCACGCGTATGCATCTGAACTTTGTGGCCTATTTTTTATTCCGTTGTTGCTGTGACAATGAATTCACGAGATAGCATTCAGACCCAGTAAAATTTGGACTTTATTTCCTGTCAAAAAAGATCTCCCTCGTCCAGCAAAGAAAACATGGAAAAGTTAGTCCAGCAATTACACGTTATCTTTGATGTAAAATGATAAAGGATGTTCTTATGAATTTTTAGAAGCAAAACTCAAACTGAAGTGCAACACCTGGATTTGAACCCTGTGATGAAAACTCTTTGCATGGCAATGTTGAACCACTTGGCCACGGGATCACTCAGTCAGTGTGTTAACTTTTTATCACAACCACCCGGTACTGCAAATTTCTGCCCGGCACTCAGGGTTGTAATTGGCTGTGCCACCAAGCACGGATTTTCCAAAAAATGAACTGAAATATTACTGAAAATTTAAATGTACCAATTCGATCGTATTTCAAGCATCAGAAAGCATTAAGAACTGTGCTCACTAGGCTTTGTAATCCAAAAATTTACCCGGCACTAAAATGGTCCTAGCTAGAACACTGTTCACTGAACACTGTGGACAGGGAAAAGGAAACACCTGTACCAGGCAGATGGATACTGGAGACCAAACTGGTCCTGATGTGCTTGTGCTGAATTGTACTGGGATGAACATGTGCAATTGGTGTTTGGGGGGGGAGTTGGAAATGTTGCTGTGACCAATATTCCCTTGGTTCCCGCTTGCATGCCGGTAAATACCTGTGCATGTACACTATCACTGTGGATTCACAGTCAAGAGATGGAATTTACACCTCATGCAAGTTGGATTTTTCATTGTACACTGTACTTCCCATTGGAAAAAAATATCATGGATCCTAAAAAGGCAAATGCAATATCCAACAAATTCATGTGCATATATACAATTTGAAACAATAACCCAGACCTTCCTCAGTCCTCCAAAATGGATGGTTTTGGAGGATTTTGGAAGATTGACGGTGAATGGCAGTTAAGTGCATGGTTGATTGCGAAGGATGCCATGCGTGAAAGTCATGGGTAAGACCTTGTGAACATTGTTTTTGCTTAGTCAAGCGTAAATTCAGCCTGATATTTCTTTTGAATCAACCGCACTGCTCAAGAATGCCATTTGCACTGCCTCGACATAATGATAGGAGTTGCCAGAGGATATTGAAGGATTGAAGCAGTAGGCACACATCAAAGTAACACTTCCGGGATTTTTTTCAAAATTTGGAGGATTGAGGGAAAATCCAATTTTTTCACCCCCCAAATTGGAAGATTCTGGAGGATTGAGGAGGGTCCCAAGCAAAAAAACCTAGGGGGTTAGTGTTAATAATTTGGAGATAATTTGGGGAGAAGAAACAAATCTAAATTGGAGGCAGAAGATCTTAAACCCTGGTATTCAAATCCCGATGAAGACCAGTGCTACTGTTGTGTGCCTTGACCACGCAATCACTTGAGTTGGAACAATGAATTTAGTAATTATACACGTATGATCAGACGATACCAGTCCAATGCCAGTTTTTAAAAAATTGACCAGATGATGGTAAAACACGCACTGCAAAAAAAGAGTAGGCTTTACTGCTGTACCACCATTGCAACTGAACTTCAGCAAAAAGTGATTGTAGATACTTGAAATTTTACCACTGCAAACCTTTTTAAATTCACATTCATAAGATGCAATTCAAAACTAGTACCATTTCAGACTTTCACGCCCTAAAAATCTCCAGAGCAACAAGTCATGAAGTATCGTGCAATGTACCGGTACTGTAAGAATCAATTTAAAACAGTACTTGTACAGTGTATATCAGGAGAATAATGAGACTTTGGGGGGAGGGGGGAACAAATTGCTGGAGGTAGAAAAATTCAAGGTCTCAGAGTCTTTGAGCTGTACATCATAACCACCTGGACACATCCTAATCCAGTCAGGATGGGTGAATTCAGTGATTAAGCCCATAGGGTACATGTATGTAAGTGGGAGGGGAGTATCAATTTGATCAGGGAGGAAGAGGGCGAATTCGACCACATGCCAGAGACAAACCTTGGGTCACAAATGTATGCTCCAATTTACAAACAAGCCAGGTACCGGTACACATGGTACATGGTCATGTAACAGCTGAAACCTCACAGTGCTCTGTTATCCTTCAGAGTACTGGTTTTCCTTACTCTGGATGAATAATCCCTTTTTTTTCCCCCAAGTCTTTTCCCTTTTCTTCAAGGAAGATTGGGACCTACCGTACCACTGCCCTGCTGGGGATCCTTTTCATGCCCTCATTTGATTCAGCAGATGGAAACACCCTTGGTTTCCACTTAAAAAGAAGATTCTACCATTTACTTCAAGCATGTCTTGGATTAAAAGCAGGAGTTTGCAATGGGACATAAAAGGTGGGGGAAAAACCAAATAAAAACTGTTTTTCTGAACATCAATCCTTTACATACAGTAAATCAAGTGAAATGAACAGACGCCATACAAAAGTTTCTAATATACGGGAGTAAGCCGATACAAAATAGCATTTTTCACATTTCATGTGCGTAAGCTCAGAAGACTTAACAGAGGGGAGCAAATTCATGACAACAACGTTGCGTTACGATTGGCGAATGGATGCTCACAATTGTTACTGTTATAGACAATTTTTTTCCCCTCTACCTTTGTTTACTTACCGGTACTTGTGGGGGGCACTAAACTCAACATAGCGACAGAGCGGGAAATTGGCTTATGGGAAGAGTTCCATATACAGTACGGGCAACACTTGATGCCCCTGTGCAAAAACCTATGAAACTTGTCTGAAAAAACATGTTTTTTAAGTAGGCCTAAATGCTTCAGAATTTTCCTCACTAAATTTCACTTTTTGGGACATGTCATTACTTTCTGACGGCTGTTGTAAGGAGCTCAATTGCAGAATGCCACCCCACATGATCAACCTCATAGCCAGGTACAGTGTCAAAGTGAGTTTCACCTTGTACCTACGTAACCAGTCATTCCAGGGGTCGTTTTTTTATAGTGACGGGGTATTCTTGAGGTCGGAGGTCATTCCATTTATTGCACTAACGTCTGGGCAAAGGGGCAACTCTCCATCCACTTTGTATTTGCATGTTTTCCTCTTTTTTGGCAGCAACGTGACAGAAATAAGTAAAATGTAAAATAGCGCATCAAATAGTGAAATTTCAGGCACATTTGATGTAAAGGTTAAGAGTTTGAGTCAGTAATTCAGATTTTCCCCATTGACCACTACACTATTTTTGTCCCTTGAGTTTTGAGTGTAAAAGATGAAATAGCTATCAATTGACCAATCAGAAGGAAGAATCAAGGATCAGTGATGTCATCCCGACCTCCAGAATTCTGCAATTACTCCCACTAAACCTAAGGGAAAATTAATGTCCGTACATAGAACTCTTTCCTACTCACTCAGTCCTAGTTGTTTTCCTAATTGTTTTTGCTTTCAACGTGTCTAAGTGCACACAATGACAATGCAGTACGTGCCTGAAGTTTACACCACCATGACCACTTCCATACGATGAGTACACCATTGTTTTCACACACTCACTGACTTACATTGCCTGCACAGCAGGATCATCAAAACAAAAACATGTCAAGTCTCTGCACTAGTCACTAAACCATCTCTCTCAACGCCCTCAAAACCCCACTCACCCGGCCTTTGCCTGTGAATCTTGGGAGAATCCAGCTTGAAGTCGATGGACGGTCTGTCCCTCTTTCTTGCTTCGTTCTCTGCCCGCAAACTGGCTTCTAAGCGATTCAATTTCTGGTGAAGTTCCACGGAAGAAGACATTTTGGCCATTTCAGAATAGTTGGGGTCAGTACAGCCTCTAACAAACATTTTAAATAAATGTGTCATGTTATTCCATTCAAAAACTCGATATTGGAAGGAATTTATTTTGTAAATACAGTAATTTCTGGAACATAGCTTTCCAAGATTTTTTCATTCAAATTATCAAAATTGTGTCATTTCTAAAGTTTTCGCAATATTCAAGTAGATGATTATTTAAATGACCTAAAGTTCGCGGCAAAACCGTACGACAGTCGCACGCGCGCGATGCATCGATGTTGGACGTTCACAGTACATGTGTGTGGTAATCCATTGTGCAAAGCCATCAATGATCAAATCATCAGTGCTCTGGCGCGGCATGAGTGCTGGTAGGCCTACATACTGTGTTACCTGTTTATGTGGATCGATCGTTCACTCTTATCCACTGAAGCATGCTACGGTGGATCGCGCCCTTCCCAAAGCAGTTTCAAATTTTCCTAAGTTTCGCTATGAAAGATATGATCGGCCGTAAAGTTCTTTCCGGAAATGTCATCACAGCGATGAAAATGTCTGCACAAAGTGAAGAGAGTGTGGCAAGAAATTACGAGGTAGGCCTATGTAGGCCTATGTACATGTAATATTAACGTTACTGTTAGGCTACGTACGTGTACATCATTACATGATGTAGGCGATAGGCCTACATGTACGATACGTAACAAACACTCCCCATGTGACGTGTGTGCACATGAATGATGCAGAGCCATGCTACATGTACATCATAGCGTAGTCTAAGTACAATGTAGATGGTGGTCACGAGTGGTTTGAGTCGAACCTTCGACTGCTGTTTACAAGAGTGGAGCTTAACCACTTAAGTTATAAGCTGCTGTGTAATTTTTAGTGATTGATTTTCATTTGCAATGACTCAAGTCTCTGTGAGCAAATGACTCAACTCCAATCTCTCGTGGAGACTCAACTTGAGTACAAGTTATAAGACTTGAGTGTCAAAAAATTTAAAAGCAAAATGCTAACCTGTAGCATGTAACACTAAGATGACTAACCCTGAACCAGACTTAAAATGCTTTCACTTAGTAATTGGCTTCGTCTTGGGCTTTGTTTCAAGCTACCCCTACCTCTGTCGCCACTCTGAACCCTTGAAAACTAAAAAAACAGGTTTCACCTCTGGATTTAAAAAGTAACCCCTGATGTTAAAATTAGTGACCCAGATCTAGCCCCATCTTAGGACCCCAGAATAAGTGGACACCAAAGCCAATGCCGAAGCACCAAATTTAGTGACTCGTTACAACACTGCTAGGACCCCCTATGTCTGTGTTTTCAGGTCCCTAATTTTGCCACTTACCGTCAAGACGGATTGGTTTTCACATTAAGTGGTGAAATAAGGGATCTGGTAGTACCCTCACGGATGTTAGTAATGATTTGAGAATAAAATTAATGTAGCCAGCTCAGCCAGACCCACGCCATACTTACCCGTGCTTGACATAACACTTTATGTACATGTACATGATGGACAAGACCTACAGTGTATGTCCAATGTCATGCTAGTCACTTCAGTTTCAGTTTGCCACCCCTAAGCACACGACCAGTTTTTAACTGAATGGACACAAAGCCCTACATGTAGTACCATGCACACATTAATTAATGGAACGTGGTTGGGACACCAATTCAGTAGGTTTCAGTGAAAGGTGTACGTGTGTAGTGTACACTTGACATTTTTGATATTTTTTTTGCACGTGTAATTGTGTGGAATTAGAAATGCATGCGGCCAAGTTTCAACAGAATGCGCACAAACTGCCACAAGGCTTGTGTGTGATATACTTGTACATGATGAGACCAACATATTTGAGGTCAGATACACCACTGCAATGGACTCCACCGGTACATCTCTTCAGTGACAGTGATTTGGGTAATTACAGAAATGAGGGGTCCAAAAGTGTGACATTTTTGTGTCCCTGTTACATATACATCTGACCTTTGTTATTTGACGTGGAAATATCACTGGAATTTATTTCAAACTATTACTGTTTGTTTGGCAGGTAATTTGCATTAATTCATCACTCTTGGAAATTAGAAAATGTGTTCTGAACTTGCAAAATAATAATATGTCAGGTGTGACAGGACCCCCCCGGACCCCTAATTTCTGGAATGACCCGTTTGCATTTTTATACCTGTACATGTACATGTAGCTGAAGAGTAAACTGTGATGTGCAGAATCCATAATGCCACACAGTCTCAGTCACTAAATTGACATTGGTCCTTTTTGCGTCATCGTGAGAAAATAATGTACTACTGTACATGTATATTTTTATTGTTGAGGTGGTCATTTCTTGGGCATCAAAACAGCCCAGTTTTACATACCAGTAGGACCACTGTGTATACATGTACAGATTTGCATACTGTTTCATTCCTAAAATAGGCCCCTTGTGTCAGATTCCTCATGATAATATACCACTGTTTGCATCGCAAACTGTGAGCCCATGCATCAGCTGTCTCTTATCAGAAAGAATTGGACCACTGCCAGTTTTTATTATCAGGCAGTGCTGCAAATAACTGACCTGCCCTGGATCTAGATATTTGTCAGTGATCCTGTAAACAAACCAATATCATGTTCAATGGAGCCAACTGTACTTTTTTATCGTAATGCGTGCATCAAAAGAAGTTGATCATTTATATAGTACTGATGAAGGCTGGATACAGTTTGAATCAGGCAAAGGATTTTTTGGGAGGAGGGTGTTTTATTACGAGGTCTAACTTATTTCTCTGGAGGTTTTTATTTCTTAAAACTTATTTTATTTTTTGCTTCTTTTGGTACATTAATGAATGTTTATTTTGTATAGATATTGTGAATGTCAGCATTTGCATGTATTGTGCTTACACCTAATTTCTTTATAAACAATAAGCCAATTAATAATAGACAAAGGAATCACAAAAAGTCAAGTTCTGAATTTCTATGTCATTTGTAAAGCTTTTCTATTTTTTTACTCTGCTCACCTGTACACCCTATCTATTCACAAACCAGTTTATGCACATGCTTGACAGGGAATTATGGCAGAAAAAAGAGAGAGCAAGGGAGCTGTGTTGAAAATGAACAAAGTTGCCTTTTTGAACCACAAAATGGGGAGGACCACCTTTGTATGAAAGTACATGTACACTGACCTGCATGTATTTTCCTGGATGGATTTGTAAATTTGTATTCTCTGCTTTTGCTTTGAATAATCACTGTGTTGAGTTAGTAGCATACAAACAAAACACATATTTTTTCTTAACTTCAATGTGGGTTTCTAATCACATGGAAGGCTTTTTGACAAAGCCGTATACCAAAATTTATAGATGTTCCCACACCCTGTCAGAACTGTGGCTATGTTGCTTGTTTTTTTTTTTGTAGGAGGCTGTCCACAAATTGAACGCCCTGCAGAGTAATGCTTCGGTATTGGCCAGTGCAAGGAATAACAGGCTGAATGAAACTGCCAAAGGCAACATCAAGAAAGTGGAGGAATTCCTGCAAAGGGCTGGTTTGGAGGTAGGTTGGAAAATTCATCACTTTGATGCAGTCTGGGAAAATCCTTTATATGATAAAAAAAGCTAACTTGGAATTACAACAAAAGGTACTTGTTACTTATATTTTTAAAGCTGAAAGTGAGCTCTTTCTAGAGCTGTTCATGTAAAATGATAAAGGCGTTTTCGTAAAAATAAGTTTTACCTTTGCCCATGTGACCACTCTCCTTTTTGGGGGGATGTGTAAAAATTCTTTTGTTTGTGACGTACGAGTAACAATGAGGTCTGTAATAACATGACCAAAATTTCCACTTTTACATGAAATTGCCCCAAATTAAATAAATGTCACACAAAACTTATCGCAAGTTTCTGCTCTTTATTTGATGAGACGTTTTGTTGGAACAGTTGAAAAGAATTTGAGCAGTTCAACAAAGATTTGCCTCAGATTTTAAACGAGACAAAATACCAACTGAAACAAATGCAATTGACAGTATAATAAAAGTTTTGTTCACGTACATGTAGTTGCCGAACAGAACGCCATTGCAATGTAGATCATTTTCAGTTTTCAAAATCAACAAGATACATCATCCGCACTACATATGTGCAAGTTGTTAACCGAAATACCATTTTTTAAAGTATGTAGTTGAAGCTAATATATTGTACAATTCAATTCAATCTAAATTCAAGAACGTGCAGACATCCGCAGGTAATAAGTGAGCATGTTAATTGTTACATTGTATCCTGGATAGCTGTGTAAAAAACATACAGCTGGATAAACAAGATTTAGCATGCAAAATTTATCTGACCACTGTTGACGATCAAAACTCCAGACTTGGATAGAATTTTCAAACTAAACCTTTAGTTACAAATTGTTGCTAGTTCTTAGATTGAAATACATATTTTGACTTCTTCATGTTCTCATAGGTTGAGCAGCTGGATGACCTGTCCATTATCCATGTTAGTGGTACTAAGGGGAAGGGGTCAGTTTGCGCTCTCTGCGAGAGCATGCTGAGAGCTAGCGGCTTCAAGACGGGCTTCTTCAGGTATCAGAGGCACTAATGTTTAATGTATGTACAATTTGGTTATCCTGATTGCGGAAACTTTCCCCTTGGTCAAACTACAATGTACCAGCACAGTTTTGCATAAGACAGTAAATTACGGACTGGGATTACAAAAAAGATTTCGGGATGATACTCAACCCTACATTCATCGTAGCAGTCGTAACCCTGCTGTAAAGTAGATAGTTGATTTTGTTCACCATTTTGGAGAGTTTTCTTTTGAGAGATGGTCCATCATACATATGTACATTATTCAACACTTTTTGGGCAGCTCACCTCACTTGGTGGAGGTTCGGGAACGAATCCGCATCAACGGCACACCCTTACCAAGGGATGTTTTCACCAAGTACTTCACCACCATCTTTGACCGCTTGGAGGAGACTAAAGCATCCCACAGTGGTGAGATGCCGGCTTACTTCCGGTTTCTCACCATTCTGGCTTTCCATGTTTTCCTCAAGGAAAAGGTATAAAGTTCTGTAACTTTTCCTTTGTTGTTATCAAGCTTCCTCTTTTTTGAATTTAGATTTTAAAAATTTGTCTGTCAGGTTTATTCCTGACATTTATACTTGACATTTGAGAAAAGGTATAAGCAAGAGTTATTTAGTTCGTATTCAATAACGATGATACAGTGCAGGAAGAATGAAAGGCACCACAGGTGCAAGGCTGTGACATGGTACATAACGAGATAGCTGATTGGCCAGAATGCACAGTTCCAGCTTGGTATCTGTCAGTGTTGTGGTCAACTCTCAAACTTACTTTTTGAGCACCAAGTGCTCTGCCAAATATTTAACTACCAGTGAAGTTAGGAGGGAACAAAGCTAAAGTACCGATGCATGGACATTTGATGGTATGCACTAAGGTAAGATTACAAAGTAAAATGATGAATTCATACTTTCACTGTTTCATAAAAAGTAAGTTTTTAGGACAAAAGTACTCGAAAAGTACTTTGCCGAGTACTTTTCTCCTTTAAACTTACATTTTGCAAAACTGGGAGTGTCTGAAGTCTCACATTTAGTTTTTAATGTTAACTTTTTAAATTTACCATCAAATGCCTTTTTACTCAATCTTTATTCCATCTTACCCAGTTTGATATTTGGCTGAGAACCTTGGTACTCGAAAAGTACTCAACTATAACCCTGGTATCTGTAAGAATTTTTGAGGTTGTCCTACCGTCTGATTTGCTCGCACTGAGTGTGACCCGGTTGGAAACCATTGTAATAATTCTATGCCATGCTGAAATTTGATAAAACTTGTTTGAGTGAATGGGGACCAAAAATGTTCCTGAATACTCTGAAGTATTTTTTTTTTATCACTTGTCTTTTTTGGCACCAGGTTGATGTTGCTGTTGTTGAAGTTGGTATTGGTGGATCCTATGACTGCACCAATGTTATCAGGTATTACCACCAGTCTGGTATTCCAATTCGGGCGATTCACAATAGTGGGCCTCCAAAAGTTTGCTGCGCGTTGGCCAGTCACAACCCGCGAATTCTGTCGACCCTTTCCAAACTCGCATTGGGTTGACAGATTTTGCGCTCTGTGATTGGCCAAAGTGTTGCAAACTCTTGGAGGCGCACAATTGTGAAATGCCCGTATTATGCATATAGTTTGTTGAGACTGCCTGATGTTGACCTGGGGATAATCACAGACAGATGTACAAACTGTCTATGTGCATAGAGGATATGGTACATGTAAATGTGTACCTTTACCTGATTCTATACTCTCCATTTTTTGCAGTCAGAATAAAGATGCAATAAAGATACATGTATATGTAATGTTCAAATAAGTCAAACCACTAAAAAAATACTCCCCAAAATGTTTTCCTAAAGTGCTCTGAGTTTGGTAATTATGTCGCTACTCAAAGAGACTGTTTTCTTTTTTTTTCTTACTGACCGGTTGGCGATGGCTTCTGTGCTTCTGTGCAATTTTTATTTGTCCTGCAGTGAAAATTGTCAAGTTGCAGTATGCACATGCGTTGTTGGAACACAGAATGGGTTAATTTAACAGATAGAGATTTGTAGGAAAATGCCCTTAATGTTCATAATATCTATCTGAAGTCTTTCAAATAATCTCATATTTGGCACATTAAGTCCACGTTTTCACTTCCATTTTAATTCTTAGTGAGTTTCACCACTGACGAAGGCGCGCATTAGAAAAAAAGGCCTTTTAAAGTTGAAGGAATTTCAAAAGTGAACCATGGTGTGACATTGAATTTCATTTTTGTCCCCCAATAAGTAAGGAACATATAAAAAAAATCCAAGTACCATTTGAAGTATAAACAAAAAGCAGACTTCAAAAAGTCAGTTACCTACATACCGGGTACATGTACACATTCGCTGTGATAGAAGCAGCAGCTTGATTATTATTCATATTAAATGAATTAGTTTTCAAATCATGCTACATGTACCTGAATTATTTATTAAATTCTAGTTGACAGCATGTGAAAGAAATATAGGTACTTTCATCATAATTCTTTCAAGGGACAAAAGAAAAATCAAGAGTTTCTCAACAAAACCGATAATGCTAATTGCCCATAGGATTATGCATGTATTTTAACATTATTAATAACAGTTGCCATAAGGTTTGAAAAGTCATTTTGACATGTTCTTGAATTAATACTCTTACTTCAGGAAGCCAGTTGTGGTAGGTGTAACTTCACTAGGATTGGATCACACCAGCATACTAGGGGAAACAATTGAAAAGATAGCATGGCACAAAGCGGCCATATCCAAGGTAAGAGTTCTAAAGGGTAGGTGTGCAGGGCATAGAAACCAGTTGACTTTTTGTATAAAAGTTTGCAAGTTGCCCCCGCTAGAAATCCTCAATTTTGTTTCACACTCTGACTATTTTAAGAGAATCTGTATCTTGTATATGGAAGGACCTGTTGAAATTTTAAAGGTCAAGGCAGTTCTGGGCAAAACCACCACCAGCCAATTTCACAAAATCCCTGGCAGTGAAGTAAGCCACTTGTTGTTGCATAACTTGCTCAAACAAAAAAGTGCTCAGTGTGTGTAAGCCAGCAACTTTGCAGAAAATGAAGAGGTTCCATTTCCTGGGATTCGGTTAAACTTTTAACTTTTGAAAGACTTCAACACTGTACTGAGCAATAATTCCTGATGCCTGTGATGTTAACCATTAAAAGATTGTTCAGGTATTAAACAGGATTTTTTGTTCATTTCACTCACAGCCTGGCCGACCAGCTTTCACCGTGCCTCAGCCAGAGGGCGCCATGAAGGTTGTCAAGGATACAGCAATGGAATGTGGGGTAAGTATGAAAACCAATCACAAATTTGGCTGTGTTAATGAAATTGCTCGTCATTCATGCTTTCAAGATTTTCTTAAAGGCAGCTGCAGGGTTCTCGTCATCAAATAAACAGAAACAACAGAATGTACATGGACAGAAATAGTGTAATTTTTCTCCCGACAGGCATCATCAGTGGAGTGTGCACCAGACATAGAGAGCTACAGCTTCAATGGCATTGCGCTCAGACTTGGCTTGACTGGGAAGCATCAACACACAAATGCATCGCTGGCCTTGCAGCTATGCAAAACCTGGATAGAGAACTATCTGAAGACAACTGGGCATAAACACAAATGTATGTACATGTAGGTGCCACATATGACTGTGCATGGTTGTTGGGTCATTGCTTCCAAGTATCACAAGACCCTATGTGTTCATATTTCTTGTGTTTAAAACCCCTTAATGCCGGGATTCTTTTGACTGTGACTGCTGGGCTGCGGTATGCCCAGTATGCAAAGCCCTGTCCGGCAGCAGGCCCACATTGAAACTCAGGTGCTTGATGTATAGAATGTATGTGTCGTATGCACTAATCCTCACACAAAGCCGCGGCTGTCAACACCTCTGGAGTGAAGGGGTTAAGAAAGTTTAGTTTCAGTTTTTATTTTGTTAAATTTTGTTTTGAGTTAGTGAGACGATGTGTAATGGAGATCTGCTGGGTAGGGCCTAAGTAGTCAGGGCTTGACTGAGCTGGGGTAGCCACATAGGCCATTCATGGGTGACCTACAGTGGACAAATCTGGGCTGGAATCTACATGTATCTTAACGCTAGGCAATGAGTTAACCGTGACAAAAGTAGCTGAAAGTTTGAATTTGTGTACAGCACATCTCATAAATGGTAAATAAAAACATATAGACCTGGAAAGGGAATGTTGAAAAGCAGTTAGAAGTTGCAGCAGTTGTAAATATTAAACTGACTGCAGTGAACATGTAGGAAATGCAGAATATTCCATGAATAATTCCAGTCACTGCCTGTGTTAACACCTGCCGTAATTTTAAGAACCCAAATGCAAGATATGAATCCTGACGCATGCACTGTAATATCAGTGTCGTTAGATTGTGTAATGTCGCTGGGCTACAGTTAAGTACCTTTATAAAAATTTCTTGCTCAATTGATGCTACCTCTAGATGGATCTGAAGTTCCACGCGGTGATACATTCCAACTCGTACTTGATTCCAACTCAACTATATCTGCAGCAGCTGATGTTGGCATGGCGACTGCCAAGCCTTTTGTTGTGCCTCCATATTTCATGAAAGGTAAGAAATGGCATCGAAAGTAACAACACAATTCAAGCTCTTGAGATGTTTGTGTTTTCACAACGCAACAAGAACGTCAAAATCTTGCCAAACAGACATTCCGAGATAAATGTGTTTGAAAATACCAGCCATTTCATTTTTGATCGCTTTTATGTTGCAGATCAAGGAATGTTTTACAGTCATGAAATGTAAGATTTGGAAAATACCAATCCATACTTACAGTAGTTGCAGGTATATTGTTTTAGTTAAACAGTTATTCATTAATAAAAGGTTTTTTCACTTCATGAAAACCGGAAAACTTGGAGATTTTTTTTCTATTGCATTATACACACTTTTTGTCACCTCATGAAAGAATATGCGCTTGAAAATAATGTTACATTATGTTACATTTCAACATGCATGCAGGCGTTCATACACAACATCTAGTTCTCACTTGTGTACACACCCATACTTATGCAGGGATTGTGTACATAGTCTCTAAGTTTGTCCTGCTAACGATGGTTGTTGTTTGTTCACAGTTACGAGGAGAGTAAACAAATTTTTTTTTTGCAACTGCATATTTGTTCTTTGGATCAAAGCTAAATGATGGGGAAAATTCCAGATTGAAAAATTGTTGATTTTTCAGGCTTTTGTCACTTCATGAAAACACGGACGAATTGTTGGAAGTGTTGGCAGGAGGTGTTTTGTAAATGAGGAAAAAACTAGAAATGACCTGTGTTGAATTAAAGCAAAATCACAAATATCTTAGGGTGTTTCCCTTTTCCTGTTGACGGAGAGCATGCCACGTGGGTGGTTTCATGGCGCCGCTCAACAGTTAGCAGAAACGTTGTGTTTACTAGAGCAGTAAATTTTGTTAACTGTGGGTGCTACACATTGTATGTCAGGGTAGTGCTTGGTATGGTTTTGCCTATGGTTGTGTGTGCATCTGAGATTTCCGTAGTTTTGTCACGACATTAAGCAACTTTTTCCTCCGAGGCAAGCGTATCTTTCCTTAGTGTTTACATGGTTTAGGGTCTTCATGAAATTCACTCAGCCTCCATTTGACATACAATTGTGTGCTCAGCAGCTGCCTGTTTTAAGCACATTCCAGGTACTACATATTAAGTTTTGTGCCATGTTGCATTGACTCTAAACTCGATAGGGACAATACATAACAATGACAATACATAACATAGGCTGACTGAAGCACTTGCTTTGTTCCTGAAAAACCTTCCCTTTCTAAAATACTGAACTGGCTCATTGCTATCCATGCACAATGCAACCAACAATTTCATATACCATGCAGTCATGTTTACTCTATTCTGGCATCATTGCATTCTGTGCCGCATCATACAGTGTGCGCAAAGCATACACCATACCATAGATGTGGCTTGAATGTTTCCCCTAATACATTTTTCATGAAAGGATGTTTGTGAATAGAACTAAAAATATGAGGGAGCAGCAAGTACAGTACCAGTATGTTTAAAACCAGCTAGGGTCTACTGGTGCTAATGTCTTGGGCCTGGTGCATTATCATTCCCAGGTTCCTATCTACATGTTGATGTAGTTTTAAACATACTCGTGTAAAACTGTTCACTTACACAGAATGTATTCCCATTACAATATCTGGTCTCCTGATTATAATACATGCTTTATTTCATTTACACATGTTCACTGGGAATGCATAGGAAGCTCACTATAAATCTGATTTTGCTGAATCTTTGCAGCAAAACTCGCCTTGATTTTGCAGATGTGCTGTAAGGATAGTTCCATGATCAAAAGCAGAACTGGTATTTTGTACAAGCCTGTCATACATAGTGTGGACCTCTGCACAAAAGAAGTCCTCATAATGCTGGGTACAATGGCATTGTGTGTACTTGCATATGTTCACACAATGTTCTTCCTTCTCTGAAAAACAGTTTCAGAGGCATTTTGGGGTCAAGGTTATCTGTGGCAAAATGAAGAGGAACAGTCCAGGAAATCATCATCAAAAATCTAGCTCCGAGGAGTTATACAGTGGGAGAAAAGGGATCATTTACATTAACCCCAGGAGAACAAAAGAATGTCCACACTTCATAATTATGTAAAACAATGGTGCGCAGTCGTGGCATACGTACCGTGGACCTCTGCACAAAAGAAGTCCACATAATGTAGGGTATGATGGCGTTGTGTGTGTGTCAAGTGGCCCTCAGGATAAAAGTGTGCTGCCTTCTGGATAATACTTTGCTGCCCTGAAGAAGTCGTTGGTTGCTTGCCATTGCCCCACACAGTATCACATTGTATAGCAGAAAATCAAGATTATGCAGTTCTGTGATCATAATGAATTAGTGGAAGATGCATCAGCAATTAACTGACAAACTTCCATGATGGCACTTGTCAACATTTTCTAACGGTTAGTACTGGAATATGCTGTATTGGGAAGATTCCATCCTACAGTGACCCAATGTGGATGAATCTAGTTTTTCAACCTATTTGTTCCAGGTTTGGAAGAGTGTTACTGGCCAGGTCGTAATCAGACAGTGAAGCGTGAGAATATGACATTTTACATTGACGGCGCCCACACTCCAAGGAGCATCCAAGCTTGTCAGAACTGGTTCATGACAGCAGCCGAGGAAGAGGGCTGGATACTAGACCGACCAATCAAACGCATCTTAATCTTTAACTCCACAGGAGATCGTGATGAGTACAGTTTACTCAGGCCACTTGTAGTATGTATTTGTTATTCTCTTTTCTTGGTTTTGTTTCAGTTTGGATTTTGAAGATATCAGTAGAACTAAAAATGGATTTTTCTGTTCACAGTCACAGTTGTAGAAGCACTGTGCATTCCCTGCATGTAAAACCTGGAAGAAACAGTGCCAGGGAAAGATTAGAACCAGAAACACGCTGTTGATGGGGCCTTAAAAACATAGTTAGATCCGAAGTTGATGGTAGATACAAGTAGATTCCTAATCCTTTGCTGTGAGTGGGTCTGCAAAAAAGGGACGCTCACCCCATCTTTTGTGCAGGTGAGAGTCATGAACATAAGGCATAACAGCGAATTTATACTCAAAGTGTTAAGCAGGAAAGGGATGCCTGTAAGATACCTGTAAGATATCATGCCAAGAAGATGTTCTCCCTTTATTTCACAAAGGGCTGCCAATTTGACGGTGCTGCCTTTTGCCCAAATATCACTGGAAACACAGCCTCGGGAAACTCTGCAGGTATGTACATGCACTTCACTCATCGGAGTGATGTTTTGTTTGCACCTTTTTTTGTCAAGATCTGCTTTGCAGTGTTTATACATTTTGTAACTATAGATTCTTTTTCTCTGATTTATTGTTCATTGCATTCCTCCTGGTTCATTTGAATTTTTGTTTCAAACATTTACCCATTTTTTTTGTATTACAAACTTTGTGAATGCATAACCTACTTTGGGTAGCTGTTTTTCCTTTGTACATCATGGATGCAAAGGTGGTTGCACCATTACTTTTAAAAAACGTATCACAAACATTATTTTAAGAAAAGGTAGTTTTTTTTAGTGAAAGTGGCTTCTTTTCTGAACTATTCAGACACTTAAATGTGATGATAAAGGCATTTACTTGCCACTGCAACAGGTGACATTCATTATGAATAGAAACAATTCTGGGGGGATACTCCACGTGTTAAAAACTGTTTTGATGCATCATGCTGTAACAGGTGAAGCAAGACAGGACCCTGGGGTTGCTATGGGAATGGTTGTCAAGACTTCAGGTGACTTATCTCCTCAGTCTTTTTTTTTTTAAAGCTCATTTTAGTTTTGTACAGAGGGCATGCTAATAAGCATATACGTGTTTGATTTACATCACAAAATGTTACCGCGACTATTTTCAAATCCTGTACAACCCTCAACTGTGTTGTAAACCGAGGACTCGTTGTCAGATTTTCCGAGAGACATTAAGCCCTAGTCATGTATTAAAGGCTTTGCTCTACCCTTCTCAGACCTGTATCTGCCAATTGTTCTTGATAGATTTAGGAAAATCTATGAAGGCTGGGGCTCACATTTTCTTTTTTTGAAAAGCTGATTGTCATACCATCAGACTGCTGGTACAAACATAACATTTTTGTCTCATTACAAAGCAACATGTACATATACGCAATCAACTTAATAATCAGAATGTGCATACAGATATACACATTCAGTACAGCTGCTCACGTAGTTGTATAAAATATCAAAGCATCATTGCAACCAAGGGCCGTGGCTTGGATGTGTTTCTGTCATGCAAATATGCCCCTGGTTTGTACACATTCAGTTGAAATTTTTTTGTTTTTCTCACATGCAGTGATCACTTCCATGTACATGTAATAACTTATCCTTTATTGGCCTATGTACACGGAGCCATCAGTGTCCTCCACATGTATGTTGTACAGCAGTTTCTTCCACAAGAGCTCATTGTCATGCACTCAGAGCATTTTCCTGGCTGTTTTCCCACTGTTTTCTTAATACTACCCTGGACCAGGGGACTTACCAGTAATTCTCAACCATAATTGTTATCATTCCCAATCAACAAAGCATAAAACGTTTGCTTTCCTCGTAATGTACATGTACTTTTATGGTCATGCACACATACATGTACATGTGTGTTGTGAAGGCAGGCATGCAACTTTTCCTTGGATCAGCTGATTTCCTTGTTTTTCACTTTGCACTCATGCCGTTGAAACTTGAAAAAAATGCTGTACAAAGTCTTGAAGGAAGGCAATTTCCCCGTTTTTGTCAAAGGCCAAGTTGCATGCCTGTAACTGAGGGATGGTACCCTTTATCACGTTTTTGTTTTCATGTGTTGTTTATAACTTGTTCCGGAGTTTTGTTCCCAGTCACAGTAATTGTTTTCTTCCATGGAATCTCCAGTATTTTTAATTCCATAATATTTTGGTTCACTCTTTGCTTTAACAAGCAGTGGTGACCTTATCTGTATAAATGTACATGTATTGTAGAGCGTAGTATTGTTCTTTTGATTTATTCAAATCACAGGCGAACTACAATTACAAAACACATTTATTGGAAGGTACCATTTGAACAGTTTCTTATTTTCTTTTCAAGTTAATCAAATAATGGGGGGACTCACCCAAGATATATTACATTTTTAGGGTGATCATTTTTTGAAAAAGTCCCCATTTTGGGCGCCCCACTCAAAACTGATAAGCCAATCTTGTCATTGGCATCAGAAATGTAGTATGATTGCAGACTGTAGATTGATGTTTGTGAAAAGCGCAGTGAAGTACATATACAGTAGCAACTTGATGGTCTTTGCAGTAAAGCTGAAGGGAATCGGATTTGCTTGAAGCGGAATTGTTTGATTAAACCCTCAGATCAGACCTCCTGCTCCACCACCAAGGACAAGCAGTTGGCTCGCTGCCAACGCAATCTTATCGCCTTTGAAAATCTGCTGGATGAAGAGGCCCAAGCGGATCTCATGTTGACCATTCAGGATGTAGCGCGGTATCCGTCGGTAGACTGGCACAGCCGTCTGTACAGGAATCGTGAGACGTCCACCCATGAAGCCAGTGCCGTTGACACCACCAAAGCAGCTGTTGTGCAGCAACAGACGCAGTTACGCACAGACTCAGCAGACGTCACACAGGCAGTAACAACGGTGCTGCCCAGCATTGCAGATGCTCTTAGCTGGGCGTCGACATGGGCAGACCGAGAACACTGCCGAGTGGGAACCACGAACTATGCCACATTGGCAGTCCACAAGCCACACGTCCAGGTGTTGATTACCGGGAGCCTCCATTTAGTGGGAGGGGTGATCTCAGTTTTAGATCCTGAACTAGTAAACAGACGAGGGAGCTAATCACTTTTAGATCAGTGCAGGTATGTACATTCAGTCTAGAGACACCTTTCATATGGTGATAAGCTCTCCAGATATGGCTGCTGTAGCTGTTTTGAAGCACAGTATTACTCATCAGAGTGATATTTTTATTTCTGTTTCGGTGCTACAATCGTATTCCAGTCATTTGCAAACAGTTGTTAATCAATGTATTTTCACTTTGAATGAGAAAACCTTCTTTGAAGTGCCAAACATTAAATCAAACAAAATGAGATTTGCCATTTCAGTGTGATTATGTAATTACTGTGTAACAATGGCTTATGGCAATCTTGTGTTTGAAAGGAAAAATACTATTTAAATGCCCCGTTGTGCTGTGACAGTTGTATCAGTTGAGAAATAATTTCATCATTTTCATATGGGTAACATTGGATTTGTAAATCAGTCAGTACTTCATCTCATTCCGAATGAACTGCTAGAGTTTCATGTATGTATGTATGCTAATTACAGCTCGACGTACACCTCCTTTCCTTTGAACAAATTTTCTTCAGATTCAGTGCCCCCCTTTACAGGCATGCTGAGTTTCAAAAGGATTGTTGACTTGACAGCTGAGACGGGGGGGGGTGCTGGGTTTAAACAAAATTGCCAGCCCCTGTCGTAGCCCTTCTAGACAGAAAAAAAACAAAATTCTTGGGAAGATTGTTTTGGCTTTTCACAAGCATGTTTGTTCAGTTCAAGGCCTAACAAAAGCAGTTCTTTTTTCTTGTTTTCCAACCCACTGACCCAACCTGGAAAATCCCACAGACAGTGTGTCAGAACATACATTTCTTATTTGAAAAAATAACAAAAATACAAAAATGGTGCCAGTCCTAGAACCTAATTTATCTGTATGTCATGCTGTATTTTCATTTAGTGGGTTATTCATTTTTTCTTAAAGCTGGCTGGCTTGAAGAAGAACTTGGCCCCCTTCTTGCATTTGTACCCTCAACCACAACCAAACAAGGACAGTATTGAAATATAGAATTAAATCTGACCTCGTGATTTCATTTCAAATGAGTTTACACTTAAATACAAGTTAACAATTCTAAATAAGCCATTTGCAAGTTAAATTTGAATATAATCTGGTACACTGAGTGTGATTGCACATAAACATAGCTACATGTATTTGAATTCCCCAGACTAAAGACACGATTGCTATACCTCATGACTTGGGGCAAGCGTTTGCATAGCGACCACCATCTCTGGAATTGACTGGTTCCTTCGTTCCCTTCTTATGAGAACAGTGTATTGTTGCAAGGCGTCTCTTATGTAACGAAGCAAAAGCTTGCCCTGAATCATGAGGTATAGCAACAATGTTTTTAGTATGGAGAATTCAGATTATGCTCACGTGTATTTAAAGAACTTAGTGTACCAGATTCTATTCACATTTAACTTACAAAAGGGTTATTACTGCATTATAAAAATGTTTAGAGGGTCTAAAGCAATGTGTGTTGAAGACAGCCTTCAATGTGAATCTGAAGTTCTGTACTTTATATATGTGGATGAGGTTGATATTAACAAGAAACACTGGTGCTACACGGTTTAGGAAGACACAAAGGAAACTAGTCTTCTTACGATCTTGTTCAAAGCCTACTTCCCTTTTCAGGTCCTTAACAATTCAAAACAGAAATGCAAACAGAGACATTATTGCTTCCTCCAGTATTTAAGTCTCACCTGGTTTGCATAGCATTTTAGACGGGGTATATGGTGCAATCTGTTTTGCTACAACCCTTGAAAATTAACCTCAGTTTCAATTAACTGTGCCTCCCATCTTGTGTTTGCCATTTGGAAAGGTGTTTTGGTGCCTGTTCGGTTTATATGCCAATGTGGATTTCCATATTCATGAGTAAAGCTGTGATGTCATCGCTTGGAGAAAGCCACAATGTTCCATTGATTTTTGAACTCACACATAACAGCCCCTGGAATTATATTTTTTTTCCCATTCTATGTATTTTCTTTTCTTCGGAGATTGACTTTTATGTGAGCATATGGCTAGCAACCTTTCCTGGAAATGGTTTGAGGGAGCAAATGTTTGGTCCATAATTTGAACAGAACACAGTGACTGAATGGTGTCATGACTAAATGCCCTCAAAGCAACAGATTTGTCCTAGGGGAGCTTGGCTAATTTGCAAGTGAAAATTTGTTCTTTTGAATACATTTAACCCAAGAGGAAGACAAATTGTTTACATTCATAAATGAAGAATTTAAAGTTGCACAAATAATCTGTCAAAGTTCACCATTCCCAGGGCCAGTCTGGTCTGTACAAAAGTAGCTGTTTCAGCTTTAATTTTAAGTGGCCATTCACACCCTTGAAGAATGGCACAGCTGCATTAGCTTCCATCTCCCATGTGCAGGGCACATGTACGTGTAGTTTGAAGCTACAATGCTACGCGTGCCCTGCACGTGGAAGATATGGACATAAGCATTGTATGAATGTTAGGTGTCCCCGTAGCATTGTGCTTCTTATAAAATGACAGCATAAAGTTTACCAGTTCTGTGAATATCATACAACTCATTTGTAATAATTTGTAAAGGCAAAGTGATGTAAATATATATGTTTGTGTACGAGGGATTCATGAGGGATTATGCAAGTTATTGCAGTTGTGTGTACATTGTTTGTAAAGTGCTGCAAAACTTCAGAAGTGTATATATGTAGGAGGGAATCAAATGTCTTGATTCAGATTTTACACTTTCAATTTATTGTGCTTGGATTTCATTGAATATTTTGGTCATTATGGAATAAAATTTGAAAAGGTAAGCAATCCCTTGTTTGATGTTGTCTAACCAATTAGTCTTCCCGAATTAACTGGGGTTGTCACTCTCCTTTTGGGCCATGGTCAAGTGTTATTTCAGGGAATTTCAAAGTACACAGAAACAGTGGCTCAGAAACCTGAGTAACTGCAAGTTATGACCAAAAACTGTTCGCTTGAAAAAAGGGGAGTCTAGACCCAACAATTAAAGAGGGTCGCAAGGTAATTTTCTGGATTTTAGGACAATCTTTTCTGTGCTAGGTTTAATCATCCGAAAGTCGCTACTTTTGTGCACTTTTTCCAACCAAGTGCATGTACAAGAGTGACGTAATTTTAGCCATTACGAGGGACTTGATTGTGTTTCGTTGACCGGGATAAAACACTAAAATAGAAAGGTCCAATATGCCACTGCAGTCGCTGCAACCATCTTGCCCGGATGTTTTCTTGGATTTTTCATCCTCCATTCTCATCAACCTTCACTTCCAGTGGAAGACGAAGTCTAGATAGGAATTCAGGTTTAGATCCGGGGTAACCCCCTCCCCGACAAAAAGATTTAAAATATACGTATGTATCTAAATAACCAAGGTAGGTTTAAAACAAGATAAAAACCATAAGGTTTTATCGTCCTTTCGGCTTGTCCGCAAAATGAGACATTAACCCTAACCCCCTAGGGTGTATATAAAATCGTATTGAAATTGAAGGAGTTGGGAGTGTTAGGGTAAATAGACTGCGACCGACGCCCTCCCGGATAATTCATGGATCCGCCCCTGGATTGAAGCAAGGATAGTACAAGCTAGACTGCTACCTCTGCTTTCTGAAAAGGCTTGTTGCCAGCTCTTTGTGTGTACCATTGTCCCCCCCCCTCTTTTGAGTAGGAGTCGTCCCTTTTTGTGAGCAGTTCTTCAAAAGAGTCCATTGGAGCAGTGTCATTTTAAAGATGTCCTTTTAATAAATTCACCAATTGTGTATAATTTCATCAATTTAAATTTTCATTTATTAGCATTTCAGTCTCATCTGGGTTTTATGCTAATGTTTGTTCAGATTCATGAGCGAAAGCACGGCATCGTTTTGGGGAGAAACCTTGTAATTGTTACAGCTATTTTTGCAGTGAAACTGGGTGGGTGACACGTGTCTTTCAGAGCGGCACTCTTAAGGCCCCATTTTCTTGAGGGGAACCAGTTTACAGTTGAGAGTTGAGACTGACCAATCACCAGAAATTGAATTTTCTATGGTGGGTGTCCCCTCTTGCCCGTTCAATACGCCACTGTATTTCAGTGCCCAAAGTTACCACACTAAGGAATAGTTTGCATAAAAATAGTTTGGGGTGATACGAGATCATAAGGGGCGATCAACTTAAACCCGCCTTTGGCTGGCCACTCAGACTTTCTCAGAGCAAGCCCCCCCCCTTTGTTGCCCTTTTTCAGCTTGGGATAGGAATTAAACGCGTTTGCGGGTTATTTGAACGGTCATTAAAAAGAAATGCCTAGGTACAGATACTGCACCCCTGGGGGCCTTGTGCTTTTCGTGCTACGCGTCATCTGAACGGCCCTCTCTCACAGAGAGCTCTGCCCGTGAGGTCATAGCCACCGTCTACAGCGCCTGCTGCGTCACATGTACCTGCAATAGCCAAACACTGTGCCCAGCACCTGAGCTCACATGTCGTTCGGGGGCGATCGGGCCATTACCTGCAACCATGGAGCTAGGCAAGGAAGTCCTGATGCAGTTGATGGACAGGCGAACAATAAACAAACGCACAAATAAAGGCTTCTGACCTATGTGTATGTGTACGCTGAATCGGTGAACCCGACGGCACTGTAACTGTGAACCCGCCGAAGTATGCGACACTGGGTTGAGCTTTTCCAAAATCGGTGGCAATTTGTCCGTGGCATCACAATGGAAGATGGAGTTGGCTGCAATCGTCTTTCCGGTACTCCTCCCAGGACCAGGGCGTTTGGTGTACAGAGTGAGCTAAGGAAGAGTGTCGAGGGAAATTACAAGGTTGGCCAATAAAACCGTAGGCCTTATAGACTAGCGCGTATGCGATGCGTGCAGAGCTAGAGTGGCCGGCATAATTTAGGCCGGCATGGCGTGGCCGGCCATGAAGAGTGTATGGACCGTTGCAGGTATGCAGAACGTGAAAAGCCACGGTGGATTTGTGTACGCGTATAGGCCTACACGTCAACGCGATCACTCCCTCCTGCAATTATTTTTTTATCCATAGAGACAGGGCACACAGATCCTGTTATTTTTAAAGGCAGGTTTGCCCTTTGTAGGAATGCAGTGTAAGCTTACATCTAACAAGACTTTCTTTTTTTTTAACTGTGTTGAATTTATATTACTTTAATGTGTTCAAACTGCGCACAAGTGCATGTTGGGGGTGTGATCATGCTAGGTACATTATTGATGATTGATATTTATTTGTAGATATTTATTAGGTCTCGTCGATCTGTGATGAGCACGCATGGGCACCAATAAACCCGGGCACATAGCAAGCAAATTGAGAAGTCAATAAGGACACGGTGATTGCTTTTCAGTCCAACCTGCGAATGATCCCCCCCGCTTCCCCGCGCCCGTATATATCTGAACTACTACTAGGAAGCCGCGGCAGACTCGACCTGCCGAAACAAGAAATCTGACGAAATTTCTTAAGGGTTTCTTCCTCCATGGTTGGACCCAGTTTCTGTCAGCTTTGAAGGCTCTTTATGTGCTCTGTTCTTCACGGTTCCACACTTACTGCCGCGGCACTTGTGTAATCTAAAACTACGATATTGATGTCTTAATGTATAGAATTATGGATGATAATGAATATGCTGTAGGCTCGAGATCTGACCGGCCGAGGAGCTGGCCGTTTGTATAGATCACAGACATACAGAACATGTATAAACACGTAAACGGGCAGCTCCTATTCAAAACAACGGGGGTACCGTAGCCGAGACGGCACCCGACTAAATCAAAAAGCTTTGGCAAATTCACCCCTCAGTATAGGGAATTTACACACAGATGAAGAATTCAAGCCAAAAAATTCTGAAGCCATTTTTATATTAATGAAAAAATCCTGTTTACTTAATCTGGCCCATGCAGATTTGAAAAAGTGCGGTTACAACATTTTAACTGAAGAGATAGCAGTACAAGAGTACAAAAGGGAGCGTGTTTTCAGAGCCTAAACGGGAAACAACATGCATTCCCAGCGCGTCACTCGCAATTCTCAGTGAACGCACTGACATTCTTCGTTTCGCCCATTGCTTGCCCAGGCTTTTTTGAAGTCACGGTTTTACGCGCAAGACTGGTGGTCTATGTGTTTATATATCTGTGGGATAGACTAATGGGCGTTTCACAATAGTGCGCCTCCAAGAATTTGAAACATCAATCACAACCGAATGCTCGTTTGGAAGGGTCGACCGATTTCGCACGTTGTGATAGGCCAACGCATCGAAAACTCTTGGAGGCGCACTATTGTGAATCGCCCGTATTCAGCGACCAGAAAAGACCGATCCATTGAGCCCTGTCCCATAGAATACCGAAGTGAATACGTCACGCGCACAATTAGTGTGTAAAAGGCATTAGTGCGTGAACCAAAACGCGCGCGTACTCCATTCGTTTGCACTGCACTTTCTGGTTCACAGTGACGTCACACTCTGGTACTTGTCCATCATGACTGTGTGAAAAAAATCCAACATGCGTGCACGCGCGTATGATACGCGCGGCTGGAACACATACTGGGTGCGTTCGATTAGCTTACACGTATAGATCAAACTTACACGAGAGCGTTCGTTTAGCCATCACGTGATCTTCGTTCGTGCTCTGGTGTCAGCTGCCACTACCCCGGCTGGCGAGCGGGTCTCTGGAGGCTGCGCGAGTGTAATGACATCACGGATGGACTGTTCGAGAATGAGCATGATGGAACGTCGCGGGGACTTGACTTTTTTTCCCAGAATGCCTTGGCGAATAGACTGAAGCGTTTGATTAGCCTCATTTTGAGGCTTCCCTTGCATTGAAACACTGGTGTATTTAGGGAAGCTAATCGAACGCACCCATAGTGTGGCTTTGGAAAAGAGCACTAGCTATAGCGCCCGCGTGCGCAGTGGGCGGGGCTTTATATTGGATTGGTCCATTAGATGCCAGTAGGGTCTACTACGAGGGGCCATCCTGTTGGCTCGTAGCCATGTACGGGTTCGCGCCTGTGAGGTTCTCTTTCAACAATAATTTGCTGTGGCTGGCCAAGATGCGCACGCGGAAGTTCAGGATGCGTGTGTGAGTGTGATGTCACCATATCTGTGGGTACCACCGTACTGACTGCGTCTCCTTTAACAAGTCAGCGGTTTACTGTGATAACAGCAAACAGACTCAAGCAATGTTTGCTATAACCATGAGCCTTTTTTACCTTCCGCTAGGGCGTAACTTACATGGGTCAAAAGGAATTTACTTTAATCGACCAACACACGTACGTTAAAAAAATCCATTAGGGCCTACCTGTACATGGAGACCGAAACAAATTGATCCAGAGCTGAACTTAGGAAAATGAAGGACATTACATGTATGCTTTTGGTCGACCTCATCCGTTTAGCGTCTATACTTTTATTGCCAAACAGAAGTAATGTACTACGTGATGGGTTTTAACCACAACTAAATTTCCCAAGCAAAAGTATAAACTTATGTGTAGGCCTATAGGTTAGAAAAAAGCCCAAGTCAGCCACGTTGGAAAATGAATCTAATGATGCAGTGTGGTTGTTTGAAGCGAAAACAAATTAAAGAGTCTTAGTGTTTCGCAAGAGCAGGAAAGTTTAAAGTTGAGTACATGTACATAGACCTTTCTCCGGAGTACATTCTAACTTTACTGTTCTGATTTTGCTTTTGGAACAACGAACTTCTCTCATTGCAAACAAATTACCATATTTTTCTTTAGCTGAAACGCAAGTAAGGCATTTCAACATTTTGTCGTAATTTTTTATGTCTTGTTTTTTTATAGGAAGCAGTGAAGAAATTGAACAGCCTACAGAGCAATCCATCCGCCTTAGCAAAGGCCAGAAATAATGAAACGATTGAAGGAAACGCCAAAAAGATGGAGGGATTTATCCAAAGGGCTGGTATGAAGGTATGATGGATGGGTCTGCCGCGCAATGGGCTAATGTGTGGACGCGTGGATAACATTAATGAAACCCCGCACACAGTAATTAATCGGAATTTTGTTGTCACACCATTGAAAATTCAAATTCCTCTACCGTAAATGTTTTATTGTCAGGAAGGTACATTGTCAATTGGTTTCGAATAAGACATTTTTTTTTCTTTTTCTCTGAAAGGTTGAGCAGCTGGATGACCTGTCCATTATCCATGTTAGTGGTACCAAGGGGAAGGGGTCAGTTTGCGCTCTCTGCGAGAGCATGCTGAGGGCTAGCGGCTTCAAGACGGGCTTCTTCAGGTATCAGAGGCACTTTTCTTACATTTTGGATATCTTGGTGTTTCTGGAAACTTAAAAGGTAGATTTAAAGACACCCTAGAGGTTTTCTGCGTGGGAGATAATTCTATACTGATTTTAAAGACAGTTCTACATGAAACGTCGCGTTCAATTATTGTGCTAGTTACCCCATGTGGGAGCCTGAGTTGTGCAAACACATTAAGCCAGCTGATTTGTGAGTTTGGATAGAGGTAATTTTTGAGAAAGATTGCTTTATGTACAGTTCACCTCACCTGGTGGAGGTTCGGGAACGATTCCGTATCAATGGCAAACCTTTGCCCCAGGAGGCCTTCACCGAGTACTTCACCACCATCTTTGACCGCTTGGAGGAGACTAAGACATCCCACGGTGCTGAGATGCCGGCTTACTTCTGGTTTCTCACCGTCCTAGCCTTTCATGTTTTCCTCGAGGAAAAGGTACACTGAGTTCTGCAAACCAACTTTGTCATGTTGAGAGGGGTTGAAGCTGAAAGATCTAGGTCTTGCAGTTTTCTCTGGTATTTGGGGAATGTTACATAATGTTTGGAGAGGATAAACGGAGTTTTGTGGCCAGCGAATATGTTTTAAACCTCTGCGGCTCTGCGGGTAACTTTGCCAGGTTTTCAAAGTTAAGTCTCTCGCTGCCCAGGATCTAGTTATACAGTTATTGTTCTTCAACTTTGAGGGGGCATGAAGTCCCTAATGTAATGAGGGCTTGGGGTAATAACGTTCTCGACTCTGCATCTTGACCGATTGTCTACGTAGGCTTACGTGTGATTCTAAGTATGCAGAATGACCAGACGATGGCCCCAACAGTCCTGAATCCTCCAATTTTTTATATGGCTTTACAGTTACCCTATCGGGAGTTAAGGTTAATGGGGAAAACACTTCATAAATACAGGTACGAATTAAATCGGGCCATCACCTGGCAGGACCGACCCTGCTCAATTTATTCATGTACGAATGGTGAAGCCCGTCTATCCAGTCGATATTACGTAATTTTGACGGGCTCTCGACCTATCAGAAGGCCGGATTTGGCCCTGCGTGATCCTCACTAACAAAAAATGTGGATACACTATATTCCATTTTACACGGGGGTGTAAGGTAATTTTGGTGGGTATCAAGAAACGTACAATTTTTATGTATGTTTCTGTGTATTACGGTGAGCGGAACCATCTGTACAGAAAGAACATATCAATTGTATTTACGATTGTACGTAGGCCTGTATTCATAAATAAAGTACATCTTCCCCAACCCTAACCCTAAGGTGTATGTAAAATCATATTGAAATTAATGGGTTGATCACTGTCAAGGCGACAACAAACAGCAAAAATAACCAGAGCCAAAAGAATCAAGAAAATAATTCATAAATAAAATTAGGAAATACGGAACTATGTGTACAAAACTTCAGTACAGAGAAAGGAAGTCTGCGCGGAAATCCACTCTATAGATAATACCCGCATGAGTCCTTGCGTGCCTTTAAAATAGCCTTTGTCCGCGTACACAACTCCAACGAGGAGTGGAAGGGAAGTCAGTTGAAAACCAAACGACAGAATTTTTTGGCAAACTTTGGTCGCTTATACATAGTATAAACACAATGAGAGTGGTGTATTCCCGCTTGAGTAAACACAATACAATCATGTAACTTTCATCATTTGTCTCTTTTTCTTAAAAAGGGGCTCAGGTATTACGGTCCGGAACAAAATGCAATTAAAATGTTTACCGGATCTATGAATTGCACGTATTGTACCGTTGAACACTGTGTGTGGCGGCAACACATGAACAGCTATGCGATCTGGTTTGAAATGCGCTTCAAGCACGCAATGCAGTGTTTTAGACACACTCGCTGTGCCCCCAGCGAATTTTACTAATTAAATTGTACCTAACAAATGAAAATAAGATTATACGTGCTGAATACATATACTAGACTCAACATCCAGTGACAAAACAGCCTGACGTCTGCGTGAAACTGGCAAATCCATAGACTATATAATATGAACGGGGGAAAAGGGTGAGCATCGTTTACATTGGAGTCACTTCGAATCCTGACAACAACATGGTCTAGTTCAGTATCCATAAGAAACGGTGTCATAATTCTCCAGAGGCACTCGTTTGGTGTAGACCACTTCATAAAATTTCTTTTCCTCTTTGGTCTCAATATTCATGGTTTTCCTATTTCTCGATAGTTTGTACGGATCCGTCACATGCAATTTACCTGGACTCTCTCTGCGCACCATTTGAGTCGTATAGCGTCAAAATCAACAAGAGACTGGTTCCTATAATTCAGAGTAATACCTCGGACCTTGCAGTGAGTCAGGAAACCGCCTTTGTCTGGTTTTGATAACTTAAAAGCACAATTCTTTGGTCCACCCGACACAAACGAAACAATGTAGTTGTCAGATTCTAACTCACTGGTCATCTCTCCCAGAAAATCGGCAATCTTGGGCTCCCATTCACCCTTCCGGCTGACATAAATCAGACTCGGTATCTTAGTGGAGAACCCTACGATTAAGTCCACCTAAGAGTTCGTACAATTTACGTCGAGCTTGGCATGTTGTATATGCGGCCAGGATCACATTGGTCCTTCCAGACTGTTCCACAAACTCCTCTGTGTGTTGCCATTGCACCTCAACTATCTCACGGTCGTTGACAAAATTAGTGCTCTGAACGTCGATGTCATCGCGCGTCATCATGTCGAAGTGTTCGGCTGGGTCCTTCAAGTACGAAGTCTTCGTCATGTTGGGTTGCTGTCCACACTTTCCCCCAAAACTAAAAAGAGATGAAGAGAAAACAATTTGTGTAGGCCCTACGTATTCATGACTTCAAAACGATTACAAAACAACACAAACATTATCGGATGTTCCCACAGTTCTTTTTAAGCATCAGCTTGGCTGTGGTTCTCAGTCCCAGGTTCTTGTTGATCTTGTCCCATTCAAGCTGAATCCCTTCTTTTTCCAAGTATCGCCTAATGTTGGTGAGTTTGCTGGGCTGTCTGACAACATGAAGGCCAATTGCTTGCTTCCTGTTTCATTTCGAGGAAAGCATTAAGGTAGTCGGCTAAGAGACCACCCTCCTTCGTGTCTGGGTCGTAGACAGGCCACTTCGTCAAAGTGCTAGACTTCATAGATGTGTAAGAGCTTGTACCCTTTTCCCAATGCCTTCGGCAGCTCCAGTGTAACCCACGTGCCAATCAGGGAGCGCTGTGTTGAGAGGGAGACTGTTGTAGGGTTTCGGCACACTTTGCGCATAAGGGAAACATCAAGCCACCAGATGCTTTGTTCGGAATAACAGGGTGATACAAGCCTCTCGGTGGAAGTACCTTGCACTTAATGAGACCCTCGTATTCGCTGACATCGCCAAAGGTTTCGGTAATGATGCTGGGATGGCTGACGGGGTACTGTCCGTACTTGCTGACGTACGGATACAAGGGAGTGAAGTCAACGTGCTTGGTCTTCTCACCGGGCCCTGCTACCTAATGCAATCGAGTAGCATTTACCTCAGGAGAAAGCATCTCGAGGCACGAGCGGCGTTCCAGTCTCCAATGAGGAAACGAACACCTGCATGTCGGGGTTTTGCTTAAGCTCGGCGTCGAACTCACACTCCCATTTCACGATGTGGTTGCATCCACACCTCGTGATGTATTGGCGTTTGTCTGTGTTTTGTTGGTATATTTCCTCCATGGCGAGTCTGTTCAGGGATGTTTGGTATCCCGAGCCAGGCAAGTATCACCATGATGGAGACAACTGTGAAACTCCAACATGGTTTTCATTCTGTTCGACTCGTAGTAGCCGTCGGCCTTGTACCTACCGATCTGTTGTCGCCGCCGTTGGCCACCTGTTTGATGTAGTGGCCAGTCTTGTGGGCCGTCCATTTGAACCACTGGAGTGCCTTGACTGACTGACGGTCGTTAGAAGGATATCCTCGAGGATGAATGATAGCAAACGTGTCTAGAGCCAAATACTTAGTGCGTACACCAAATTACAGGTAGACGCAATCGTAATACAGTGATGAAACGGGTCTATTCCAGGGCCCGAATCGTCAGAAGTCATGTCCATGAAAAGAGATCTGAAGCTTAGACAACATTATGAAGAATGTGCATGGACGTCAGAACGGCAGTATTTGACAGTTTCTTTCTGGAAGTCAAAGGGGTCATTCTGGCGCTCTTGATACCATTGAACAAACGTTTTTCTGTCTGCTGGCTTCATAGAATCGACATTGTCATACATGTAGTTCATTTCGGGCAGGTGAGACAAGACAGCATTCTGATTGGTCCAAGTATTAAACAGATGGGGAGAGTAGCCTTTCGCCATTTCCCTCTGGCTGAGAGCACTTTGAAGTTTAGAGAGGGCCAACGGAAGGAAGTTGATTGAGTTCATGAACTTCGTATCGGTAGCGGGTGTTGTGATGCTGATTCCCTCGTCACCGTTAAGAATAACATCGGATAGGACAGCATTGTTGTACAATACCGCAAGATTAAATAGGCGTTGTACCCCTGAAAGTCACCTGCATTCTCTTCTCTGAAATTCCTGCATTGTGTTGAGCCCAGCAAAAACTCGCTCTCGCTGTCCATATTGTGGACGCGTTTTCAACTGTTCCTCGCTTAGGCATTTGTGGCATATACTTTGTGTGCGATGCAGAGATGTGGTTTGTGAATGGCCATTTCTCGCACGCATTTGAAATCGAAGAAGATACAACTTTTGGTGTCGCCATCGTCTCCAATATCATGGGCACCATGTTCAGTAGAATGGGCCTCTCCATCCTCCAATTCGTCAGCCGTAAGGCTGCAGTCGTCGGGTTTCTCTTTATTTTCCTCTGTCAGTTGCATATAGCACAGGTGATCGGGAAGAACGAACTCTCTGAACACGTTGCAGTACCTTCCGCCACATCTGAGGTCTTTGCCTCTGAGATGTCTTCGGCTGACAAACTGACCGCAATACCGATATCTGAAGTGAGACTTGCACTCTGACGCGGCGCGAGTGTTTTGCATCAGGTGATTTTTGAAGCACAAGCTGCTTCTGAAATGCCTGTTGCAGTCTAGGCAATACACCAGTTCCCCTTCTTCACAGTCGGGCTGGAAGCAGAATTTATGACAACTTTGATATCTGTGGTCTTCTGGGTGATAATGACCTTTTGGACATCTGACGCAGCCTACTTGTGTTAAGGAACGCTGGCATGCTGGTGATGACGTCATAGTGTCCATCATGGTGATAGATGTAACTCTGTTGATCGGATGGGGGCCTCTGTAGATAACAGCATTCGCATAGTCTTTGGATGCCACAATGGCCTCATTATTGCTGATAACGCATTGAAACTGTTCAATCAGTACTTACCTCTTGAACTCAGATCTGCATTTCTCCTTGTATACACCTCCTCTAGGCATTTGCTTCATTATTATTCATAAAAACACGAGTAAATGCTTCAAAAATGTTAGTAAAAGCAAATGCTACTTTTTGTTCATACGACCCATCATTCCCTTCCCCTCTTTGCTGGAGTCACGTACGCGTAGAAAAGGCTATTATAATGGAACGAAAGGACAAAAAACTCACGTGGGTATTTTCTATGAAGGGGGATTTCCGCGCAGACTTCTCTCTCTGTACTGAATTTTTGTACATATATAATTCGGTATTTCCTAATTTTATTTATTCTTGATTCCTTTGGCTCCGGTTATTTTTGTTGTTTGTGTTTGCCTTGACAGTGATCAGCCCTCTGATTTCAATATGATTTTACATACACCTTAGTGGTTAGGGTTGGGGAAGATGTACGTTACTTTTTAATACAGGCCTACTTACAATCGTAAATACAGTTAAATTAAGTGGGAAAAATTGAAAGAACCTGTACCCATAATATGTTCAGATGTACAAATGATTTCGCTCACCGTAATACACAGAAGCATTAGTAAAATGGTTCGTTCCTTAACCCCCCCCCCGAACTTACCTTACACCCCCTTGTAAAATTGAATATAGCGTATCCACATTTTATGTTAATGGGGGTCACGTGAGGCCGAATCTGGTCCTCTGATTGGTTGAGAGTCCGTCAAAATTAGTAATATGGACCAGATAGACGGGCTTCACTACTTGTCTTGCTCTCCAAAAGCAGGCCTAAACTACTCAACGTTGAATAACAGAGGGCCAAATGGTTCACGCCAGGCCAGTCTCTGCCTCAAAGAAGGCATCATCTTTTGAAATATTGGCCAGCGGCCGTTGCAAAGAATTTTCTTACATTTGTACAGTTTCCACTTTAGGTTGATGTCGCTGTTGTTGAAGTTGGTATCGGTGGATTCTTTGACTGCACAAATGTTATTAGGTAATGTAGAAAGAGCTCATAGCAATTTTGTATTTCAACTGTATATTAAGTCTATCAAAAGTCAGTTGTGAAGCCCATATCTTGTCCAAGTCAGCATTCTTCGTCTTTGCAGTAAAAAATGAAACTATATTTCAAACTTAAGCCAAAGATTCTGTCAAAAATTATTCAGACATGTGTGGGTTAGAATTGTGTAGCCTACCTTATATTTTCCAAAAGGAACTTTATATTCATTGTCATTATTACTTTCTTTGATTTTGAAGTGTTGAAGGAGGAATGCTTACAAAACCACATGATTTATTACTGAACCGTGACTCTGAAAATGTAGTAATATATGCGTATATATAAATGCGGGGTTTTAAGATAGATGATTCTGTTTTAAGATGTGTATGATCCATTGATATCGTTGTGAAGATAGCATTCCAATACTTTTTCTGATAAGAACTTTTCAGAGTTAAAAAATAAAACCTTGAAATTGAAAAAAAAAGTTAAGAAACCTTATCGACAAGATGATGTGTATACTACACTACAGATTGATATTCGGTTAAAGCAATGTAGCTAGAGTATTCCTTGTAATCCTGATGAATGTCATTTAAAGTTATTGTAAAATTGCATCCTTACTGTAGGAAACCAGTTGCAGTTGGTATAGCACTGCTAGATTTCGATCACGTAAAGAGACTAGGAGATACAATTGAAAAGATAGCTTGGCACAAAGCAGGTATTTCTAAGGTAAGATTTTAGAATTTGATTTGGTCTCATTGAACCAACCAGTTTAAGTATATTGACATCTGTATGTTGCATTGATCTCGTTGCATGTTTCTCAAATTATAGAGGTCCTGGCCTTTCCGTGCGAAAAGACCACTGGCACATTTAAAAACACTTTGGAAAATTTGTCCGATTACTTTCCCAGGTGGATAAGTAACGTTTCACAGTCAAAATGTGTGACTTTATAGTGGCTTTTGAATTTGGAAACAGTGAACTACAGTACTTAACATCCGTTTATACTGCTTACAGTTTTAAAAGATTGTTCATATTGGAACTTTAACTTGAGATTTGTTTAATTTTCTCGCATTACGCAGCCCTGTCGACCAGTTTTCACTGTGCCTCAGCCAATGGGAGCTATGAAGGTTGTCATGGAAACAGTGATAGAATGTGGGGTAAGTCTGAAATTCAGCAACCTTTTGACCACTGACAAATTCCTTTTCACTGTTCCTTGTTTTAGGTTACACTACCTGAACGTTTCTTGTTATGAAATGCAACAAAATTAATGCAGAATGCGCACTGGTTGGCGTGCGTTTTTTTCTCCCCATAGGCATCATCCATAGAGTGCGCCCCCAATTTTGAGAGCTATGACTTCAGTGGCGTTCCGCTCAGACTTGGCTTGACTGGAAAGCATCAACACACAAATGCATCGCTGGCCTTGCAGCTATGCAAAACCTGGATAGAGAACTATCGGAAGGAAACTAGAAATAAACACAAAAGTATGGGCCATGTATGTTTGATCATCCCTTTAAAGTGTCCCAAGAGGCGTAAGCCCTTAGGTCGATTTCGTTTTTGTTGAGGTTTCATAAGTATTGAGTTTTACAGCTGAGGTCGAGTTTGTTAAACGAAAGTCAGAACTGTTCCTTTCAATAATTTCTGATTCAGTGGAGTAGTCTGTACATTTTCAGATGCATCCGACTTCCAACTTGTAAACGATTCCAAATGGGCCGTGTCTTCAGCAGCTGATGTTGGCATGGCAACTGCTAAGCCTTTTGTTGTGCCTCGGTACTTCATGAAAGGTAAAAAGAAATGACATCTCAGTGCCAGATCGGTTGCGATCTAGGCTTAAATTGTATGTTCTACCACAGATCAATTTACTTCTTATCAAGTCACTTTGGCAGGACTGTGACATTAACTAATTGATTTGCCAATAAAAATGGAATATGTTGTTTGCTATTGATTCCAAAGAATGCCCAAAAGACGGTTTCTTTTCTCTGTAAGCGTTGCGCCTGCTGTGTCAGGCACAGTTAAACCCATTAAGTCACACGTAAGCCCTACATAATCCATGTCCTTGTAATTTAACAGTTGATTTTCAATTCGTCTGTTTCAGGCTTGGAAGAGTGTTACTGGCCGGGTCGTAATCAGAGGATCAAACACGAGAACGTAACCTGCTATATTGACGGTTCCCACACACCACAGAGTATCCAGGCATGTCGCAACTGGTTTATGGAAGCGGCCAAAGAGGAACACTGTATGCTTGATAGGCCAATCAAACGCATCCTGATATTCAACACTCGGTCACAACGCAACGAGTACAATTTACTTAGGCCACTAATAGTACGTGTTGGTTGTCTGGTTTTTCACTTGATTGGTAATTTCTTAGCTTTGAAGCAAATTATCAACACCTGGATTCAACTCGTGCATTCAGTCTCATTTTGGGCTGCGCGTGATCGAAGGAGGGGCTTTTCCTTCTCCAACTGCAAGACGCACTCTGGACGTTCACGGGTTCCCTACAGCTAATTCCACACAAAAACAAAGGGTCGTCGTGTTACGGCGCACATGATATACCAATTACATACGAGTAAAGGGCAGTGACCTTTGCACCATCTTAACGCCTTTTTGCAGGCTGATGAAGCAAAATTTGAACTATTTGCGCATTGAACTGCGTAGGAAAATGTGCGGACAGCCAGATGGAGCAGTATGCAGATGAAAGTACAGTAGCAGACAGCATGTACTTGACTGTATTGGACTGATATCGGATAACATTTTTATCTAGTCCGGTGACCTTACCAAGAGGCAGTCAGTGAGCAAGATTGAACTGAAAGTGCTTGGGAAAAGCGTGCAGTTCTAAAAGTCGAGGTTCTCTGTTTTTTTTGCTTTTCAAGGGCTGCCGTTTCGATGGTGCTGCGTTTTGCCCAAATATCACTGGAGACGCTGCCTCAGGAAAGTCTGCTGGTATGTACAAGACCTACATCATTTACTACTGACTGTGCAATTCACTTTCCAATGTCCAATTTCCGTCTGAACATTTCATTCAATACTTCCATACATAGCCTAGAAATGTTTAATAATTAAACCTTCAGATCTAACAGACTTATCAGTCAGCACAGACGAGCAGTTGGTTCGTTGCCAGCGCTACCGGGCTGCCTTCGAAAAACTGACCGACGAAGAGACCCAGGCTGGCCTCTCGCTGACCGCTCAAAACGAGTCGGTCGACTCGCACAATTGCCTGTGGGAGGATCGCAAGACGACTGCTAAAGAGTCAAGCGTTGCCGACGTCAAAGAAACATACGCCGGGCACTTCCAGCGGACAGTGACGGAGGTATTGCCCACCATGTCAGATGCTCTCAGGTGGGCGTCAGCGTGGGCTGATCAAGAGAAAGACGCGGTGGAACCCACGGGAGATGAGCCGACACGTACACCACGACAAAAGCCACACATCCAGGTGCTGATTACAGGAACCATGCATTTGGCCGGGGTGGCAATTGAAGCTATAGATCCCGAATTGATCTACAGACCAGGAAGCTAGGAGTGAACGACTGATGTCGTACTTTTCACCCTTTTGTTATTCAGAGTGACCTCAAAAGAATTATAATTGGGGAAATGAATTCGTAGCCTTCTCTGAACAGTCCTCACATTGAATGGAATTAGGTGTGTTGTTGTTAGCGAATATAATGCATTTGGTAAACCTGGGCGTGTTCTGCAGCGCAAAATTAAAGTTTGTCATTCCTGCGGCATACGGCTACAAGCGTTGGATTGTCAACAGTCTTTCCGCTTCCTAAATATATCTTTTCCTCGCTGTTATCCCGTGCTCATGCAGCGTAACGGAGGAATCCAATTGAGGACAAAACGTGTGGAAACATTCACGTCAAACGTTTGTGTCAATACGGAGGAGTGATTGTCGACTTAAAACACTTTTGTCAGTGGGGTGACGTTTTCAGTGTGTTCGCTGCCCCCACCACTATTTACTGCTGTGAGCAGTTCATGCTGGTGAGAAATAGCGTGCCTTCCAAAGAGTTTCTGCAGCTACCTACACTGTAAAAGGGTTGGTCAATTTTGGGTTGATATTTTGCCCAATGTTGGTAAAAATATCAACTTAGCAACCTTTGGGCAAATTCTTCCCAATATTTGGTCAATGTTTGACCAACAGTGACGGAAAATTGACCAACAATGTGGTAGCCTTAACCAAGGTTGGGCAAATAACAAATGCCCAACACTGTTTTGCCCGGCGTTTTTTTTTACAGTGTATAGCTGACCACTAATGTGATATGCTCAGGGGAACGAGGGAGTGGTGCACTTTTATAGCGTGTTTTAGATGTCACACACGTTGTGACTATTGCCATGGCGTTGAGTCGATTACTCATTTCAGCAACATCGAGTTTGTGTATTTGATGGACTCAAGTCGTTCTCACCTCTCAGGTCATAGAATTTGGTATTCTGAAAAGATGCATCATTGCTTGAGTTATTTAAATTGTATTAGTGGGCTAGAGTAACATTTAAAACACGGGTTTGTATGCACATGTATATTCTGTGTACCTTAAAGTTTTTGCAGTAAATACATTGCAATTAAATTTCTCCACTTTGTATTTAGTAACCGTGTAAGAACGAAATTATTATTTATTGTTGCAATTAAATGTTTTCAATGAATGTACGTGTGTGAAAACGTTTGGTGAATCTGCTACATATGCCATCACTTATCTTCCCCTTTTTAGTGGAAGTTAATAAAATCAGTTCCCTCGGCTTTGCCTAAGGAACTACATGTATTTTCAACTATGACTATGTCAGTTGGAATCAACTGTCTGGGCTCACTTGAATTAAACAATATTATATTATCATCAATTCACGTCGTACATATTAAGGCGTCTATTTGACATCCATTTTCTTTTCCTGGCATCGCTCAGTGCAAGAAGTTGACCCCAAAATGTCTCTGAAACTGTTCTTCAGAGAGGAGGAAATATTGTGCGGACGTGTGCGAGTCCACACAACGCCATCGTACCCTACATTATTATGTGGACTTCTTTGTGCAGAGGTCCACACCATGTAGGCTATGCCACGTCTGCACACACGTTGGTCATTGGTTGATTGGAACCGCACGAATGTTACAGACATCTAGGGGGAGGGATGTGCTGGGTAACGATACTCTAGGGTGTGCATAGGGATTGGGCATGTAAGGGGTAACCCCTCCGCCTCATATCTTGCTGGGTATAGATTGACCAGCCAATATTTTCAACACTCCTCCGTAAATTTGTCAGACCGCGCAACCTGATTCTTTTTTTATCAGAGTGGATTTTTCAGAAGAGAACAGGAAAGTTTGTATATAAATAAATACTCAAGGAAACAAGATCACACTTAGTTTTCATGTTTAACACTGAAAGCCGATGGTTATCTTTGGCATAATGCCTACTCAGTTACATGTATATCAAAGTATAGGGTTTCCAAGGAAAGAAAAGCAAAAAACAACTGAAATAATTTACAGGGAAACAAACGTAATTTTGTTTTCATGTAAAACGGCTTGTAGTTTCACACATTCCTAATTTTGTTAGCCTTTCAATTCAAATGGGCAGATTTAAAGACAAAGCAAAGAACACAAAAAATATGCAGTGCGCTAGTTTCAATCGAGTTCAACTTGAGCCGGCCTTACACAAATCTGCGTCATTATAAAAAGGGATTTCAACGAACCGATTGCATCCGCTATATCACCTGACCAATTGTGGATATCAACCCCGTTGCAACGTGTTCCGAGAGTGGTTTACAAACAATACAGGCACGTTACGGCATAGTACCCAGCATATTAGTAGTCCGAGTACGGTACTTACCATTGACTTTATTTTTGGTAAATGATATTTATGATAAAACACTGCTCTGGGTGGACGCCGTATTTGTTGACATTTAAAGGCATTTATGGCGAGAGACAGATGCACAGCGCCTTTTCAAACAAGCCAGTGAGCACTTGAAGTCCAAATAGATTGTCTGCACCAAAAAGTCAAAAGTCGCTAAAATTGAACCTAGGCCTGCAACTGGTGAAAGTAAAACAGGATGACTGAAACGCGCACTCCCTGAACGAAAACGAAAGCAACAGTTGTAATGAAGACACCCCTGTATGACCAAGATTGAAAAGCTTGAATGAATTTGAATGCACGTTGATGACAATGAACACATTTAATGAATGTACATCACATTAAAGAAAGTACAGTAACACGTACATGGATACAACAAACATGGAAGACAACACAAACGAAAAAAAAATACGAAGACCAGATGTTGTGGAAGATGCTTGCAAATACATACATGTAGGCCTTCAAATACAGTGAGAGTTATTGTTCCAAAATTGTCCGTTTGTCCAGGGATTTGGCTAAATGGTGTTACGAAGCCATCACTTCTCAGCACTGCAAAATCGTGGCAGAACGTTACACAGGGTGCGTCTTGAAAAAAAGCACGTTGAAAGTTGGTCACCACGCACATAGGCCTAGTGGCCTATACATGTAAATATACGTAGACAGGAAACACAAAAAGAAAGTCAACACTTGTAACTGTTCGCGTTTAATCGCAGTTTTTCCTTGTCAACCCTTCAACTTCCCCCAGCCTATCGTTTTCAATCAGTACTTATATTTGGCCTCGTAATTTTTCCTTGCCTTCAGAATTTTTTGAAAGGAAATTTACGCAGAATTGTGATTCATTCACAGGCGGATTTAAATCAGATGAACTAGGACAGTGTCTGTACTGTACCACATATAATGTACATGTACTTACACGTATCTTGCAGCCTGCAGATATCGTCTTGGTATTTTATCAGAGTCAAGGTAATATTGGTGGGGTAAATTCATGTGTACTTGCGCAAAACTTTGACCAAAAAATGTGTTTTGGAAGACCAACGGAGCTCACCGAGGAGGAAGTGGTGTACTTTTTAGGTTCAGCGCAGAATTTTCTTCCATAATTTGTCAAAAGAACATATGTACACCCACCCATGTACACGGATATCCGCTCACGCATTGGTGCATGTACTAATGCGGATTCGTGGTGCTTCATGCGAAATATGTTAACCCTGCCAACGTCATTTCCATCAAAATAATCAGATCAATTACGATAACAACACTGTGTGAATATACTGGACACTGAAGTTTGTTCTGTTTTTACAATACCTTTTTCATGCTTCAATGCAACAATTCTCCATTAGGAATAAACTTTCTCATTTAAAAAGCTGAACAATCACAGTTTTGTTATGTTGTTTTTAATTCACTATCGTCCAGATTTCATAGAATATTTTACTTATAGTTGTCATGATTCCTTCTAGTAATTTAATTGAGAGTTAAATCTTGGAAATGCAGACGAAGTGTTGCTCTGAAGTCTGCCAAAACATTGGAAGTCCAGAGAGAAATGCTAGGTTTCAAAGGTCGTAATGGGAACACGACGTGATGATGTCACAAAGACAGCAGATTCAAACAGGGACGACATGTACATGTAGAAACCCAAATATCTGCTTGTAAGTCTGAGTGGGATTCCATCCAGGACGACAGGAGGAAAGCGAGCAAAGTATACCACTAGCGCCAATATTCGTTTTCTGCTAAGTCTGTCACTGGCATACTCTTTCATGTGATATTTTGCTGCTGTTTTCAACGGTCCATAAATCGGCACCTAGCTGCGAACCCTTTTGGACAAGATGTCAAAGATGTCATTAGCCAAAATGCAGCTGACAAAGACGTTGCTATTTCCTGGTTTTCCACCACGAATACAGCTTTAAAAAAGATCCGATGTCTTCTCCATTACACTGTACTGATTCCTGTTAATACAAGAAATATATATTGCATTTAAAAATATTCTTTTTTAAATATAGGATGTTTAAGACCTCCGGAAGAGACTTCAAAATTTGGTTCACAGTTTCATCCCATTTGATCGCCATATTTTGTTGTCTTGAAACTATCCTTAACTGGTTCTGGAGTTGGAACAGTGGTTTGTACGTAAACACTTCCTGGTTTAGCATCTGCTGGAACATTGTGCTGGGCTGTGTGAACCCACATTCTCTGGCACTGCTTACTGGCAATCGATGCAACAGCGTATGATGTAATGATCGCACCTCCTGCACGTGGAAACACAATGTATATATATATATATATTGCTGTTGTGCATGTGGATGCAATCTGAACAGGTTGAGTGTGAGGCACTGGCAAAATTACAGTTGGCTGACACCACTGCTTAAACTTAAAGGAACTGTACTCCGGCCGTTTCACAAAAGTGTGCCTCCAAGAGTTTGCAACGCGTTGGCCAATCACAATGCGTGAAATCTGTCGACCCAATGCACGTTTGGAAAGGGTCGACAGATTTTGCACATTGTAACTGGCCAACGGGTTACAAACTCTTGGAGGCACCTTATTGTGAATCGCCTGTATTGAAACTTTGCCACCATTTTGTTAAACAATTTTCATGCTCCTTCTTCCGCTCTGCTTTTTTTCCATGTTAAGACTGCTTCAATATCAAAACATGCAGAATTTGGTTCACTTTTGATTCTGCGTATTTTTGGAGTCGATGAATGAACCAATTCTATAAAAGGAAAACTGTTTCCACTGAGTTTCATTTTCATTTCACAGTTTGATAAGAAAACCTCAGCTGCAGAGTTGACACCACGCTGGATGTGACGTCAGTGTATTGAAACTAGGTGGGTCATTTTAGTGTTGAAAATAACAGCCTTTTTTCATTGCATTAGGCTTCACAGGAATGGATGTATGGGCAAATATAAGTCTGAAATATGCTTATCCCATCTGTAGGTTGAGCCCGACAGTGCTTGTGGTTTCGATGACCACCACTCGGTTTGTTTCGTTTTGTAAGCTTCAGCTGGATCACGATCCACCTATTTCAACAGCTTTGGCATTACATGCTACAAACCTGCAACAAAGACCACATTGTACACAGCTGGGATAGTGGGATATCGGCGCTTGATGACATGACTTGCCGTCAGTCCAGCTACACCACCTGTGTATGGTAATCAATGGAAATATAATTGAAAGATTAATCAAATGACAAAAATCTACATTAAATATACAATTATAGAAATGAACATTTACACTGGTTTACTCTGGTGGTCAAAGAATGACGTTATGGCAAAAAACCTATTAGCCCTTGAAATCAGAGCAAGTAAGAGCTTATCTTCTCCTGAATACTCTAAAAAACACATTTTGGGTTATACATTTGAACAGAGAAACATAAACTCAGCAGTGCGCTTGTGACTTACGCCACTTCATCAGCAAACTCACGTATCCTGAAAAGCGGGGACAATTGTTTAGGTTTAAAAAGTGAACTTTTCAATACACTTAACTCCATAAGACTTCAGTTTTCATACATTTAACATGTTTAAGGAGGAGTATCAAGATGAACCACAAATGAGTTGAAGAAAAATTCCCTGCATGGACACTCGGAACATTGGAAATTGCCTGTGCTTTTTTGGACAAGCTGGGAACTGCACTGTTGTTGCGAGGCCATTCAATTCAGGGAAGACACTGCTCTGTGTATATTCTTTTCTTTTCAACTTGCGAACCTAAACATGACTCACTGGAAACACTTCCAAGAATGGCTCCGTTGGTGGCTTGTATTTACATGACAATGGAACACCAAAGAACAAGAAATTGAGGACAGCAACTTACACGTACTAAACATCCAAAATATCTGCCTCCACTTTGCACTTTGGACCCTTCATTTACAGAATAACATCAAAAAGCAATACAATTTGACCGAGAAAGAACTACATGTACATTAGTGGAAACTTTACCTGCAAAGAAAGCAAAGATTCCTTTGATGAATGCCCTGGACTGACATTGTCCATACTGGTAAATTCCCTGATTGAAAAAAAAAAAGAAAAGAAAAAGATATCTATGGATTTCGGTGACAGACGCATCACTGTATAGTGCTGATGACAATTTTGAACAAAATGTTGAGTACTTTGGAGCAATGTGTACTGCATCACATGCACGACGGTCGGATATCCAAATATGTCTCACAGTCATCCATGGGCAAACACATTTTGACTGCAATGCCAAAACAATTTACTTAGGCCAAACACACAAACAGCTGTGTCTCCAGTTACCTGACCCAACCTAGAAAATCACGCAGAACCTACATCTTTTTATTTGACGAATCAATAAAATATCAAAATTGATGGTGCTTTGCCCCGAGCCTAATTTTGTGTACATCGTCCTCTACATCGTATTGTTTTAGGTTTTTTTGCATGAGACGGACGGCTCTTTTGTGTTTGTATTTCAATTACATGTACCAGCTGCTTTACTACTCAATCACAGTGCTGATATGTAATGTTGACGTGCACATGTACAGTAAATGTATTTATCTGATACTGATTTAGTACCTGTTCCAAATATATCACCCTCCTCCCCCCCCAAAAAAAAATACAGACCACTATCTGACACAGTTTTTGGGGCTAAAAAACTTTGCGTGAAATTTTTTTTTACCGAACTAACCACCCTAATTCATTTTTCAGTGTAATAGGAAACACAACAGATTTTTTGTTTGGCCTTAGTCATCTATAGACCTATTTCATCTACATGTATAGGCCTAATTCATCTACAGGCCTATTTCATCTATGGGCCTATTTCATCTATGGGTCTATTTCATCTATAGGCCTATTTCATCTATGGGTCTATTTCATCTATGGGTCTTTTTCATCCATAGGCCTATTTCATCGATAGGCCTATTTCATCCATACAGTAGGCCTATTTCATCTACATGTATAGGCATATTCAATCTATTGGCCTATTTCATCTATGGGTCTATTTCATCTATGGGTCTATTTCATCTATAGGCCTATTTCATCTACAGGCCTATTTCATCTATGGGTCTATTTCATCAATAGGCCTATTTCATCTATAGGCCTATTTCATCTATGGGTCTATTTCATCCATAGGCCTATTTCATCTATAGGCCTTTTTCATCTATGGGCCTATTTCATCTATGGGTCTATTTCATCTATGGGTCTATTTCATCTATAGGCCTATTTCATCTATGGGTCTATTTCATCAATAGGCCTATTTCATCTATGGGTCTATTTTATCCATAGGCCTATTTCATCAATAGGCCTATTTCATCTATGGGCCTATTTCATCTATGGGTCTATTTCATCTATGGGTCTATTTCATCTATAGGCCTATTTCATCTATAGGCCTATTTCATCTATGGGTCTATTTCATCAATAGGCCTATTTCATCTATAGGCCTATTTCATCTATGGGTCTATTTCATCCATAGGCCTATTTCATCTATAGGGCTATTTCATCTATAGGCCTACATGTATTTCATCTATGGGTCTTTTTCATCCATAGGCCTATTTCATCGATAGGCCTATTTCATCCATACAGTAGGCCTATTTCATCTACATGTATAGGCATATTCAATCTATTGGCCTACTTCATCTATGGGCCTATTTCATCTATGGGCCTATTTGATATGAATTCCTTATATTATCAGGCTGCCATGGTAGTCAGTCCATTGCCATAACTGCCATTTGTAATACCGGCATACAAATTCTTACTGCGTACATGTAATTCAAAGTTGCTCGAATAATTCAAGTTCTTAAGGATACTCATGATGATATGAAAAATTACAAATCAAGATGTCACGATCAACAAGTGTTAGCATCCTTGCTCTATACACGCAGTATTATATTAGTTAGGGCCCTAATGCTAATAACATGAAGTCATATGCTCGAGCAAACTTCAGACCACCATAGATATCACGGCTGCATCATATCGCCAATAGAGGGCCTCCGTGGAGTGCCCTGCCTGAGGACATATTTTGTTATTTTTAATGACAATGTCAATGAATGCACAAACATGACGAAAGGTTTACTCCAGCCTGTCCTAGAGAAAAAAGGAAATGCCCTCCACCGTGACGTCATACATGTCATATGCGCCCCCTTTATCGATTCTTTAACCATCGTGGATTGATGATCACATCACGACCAGGAAACATGTATGTACATGTATGTTGTGGGCGTCGGCTACCTCCAAAACTGGGGTCCGACGGGGTAGGCGCTGGCTAGCCCCACTAGTGTGGCACGGACTCTCACTCCCGCTCCATCCTTAGCCACACATCCGTATACGCAATTTGTGTGTCGGCGCACCCTCTTATAATCGTAGGCGCAAATTTTTTTTTGCACACAGACATGATCCTTAGCCTCTCCGCTTGCTTAGCACCATTTATTGAATGATTTCACTCACGTTGTTCTGGTATTTTCCAGTCTTTTTGCCTTCACCCATTCAATCTCACGGGCTCACTCTCACAGTCGCCATCTTTAAAATAAGGTCGTTGAACATTATATCACTTGACCCCTCATCGTCTCGACGGTTGTTCCATGTCAAGACATATCTAAACTGCTGCCCAAGTTTTGGAAGAGTCCATTGGTACATATAGTATCTTATCGCTCAGTCCGTGTACGCAAATTGCGTATACGGACATGACGGATGTGGGGCTAAGGATGGAGCGGGAGTGAGAGTCAGTGCCTCAGTCATGACGGCAGCGGGGTTAGGCGCCGGCGGGCTTTTTACTTAATAACACTACGCCTGTTATGCCCGTCTTACCGGATATTTCCCAGCTGTTTCTTCATCCAGATCAGATATTCCGACCAAAACCATGATGTCAATAACTGAGAGCACTACCAAGATATTCGACAAGGCAGTTTACATAACTACAGGTACTACGCATTCAACCTCAACTCATATCCGAAGCACTTGGCTGTGGCTTGAATTTCTCAGGACATATCCTAAACGTTTAATTCCAAGCCACAGCCAAGTGAAAGCAGACGGTTAGTAAGTTTCCTAGGTTCGGTGTTGTGTAAACTACATGAAAATCGTCTAGGTACTGCGTATGAGGCGACTAAATTCAGAGCGCCACCATTCGTTGCATCGCTGCGCAAAAAACCTAAACAGAACGAGCAGACCATCATTTGGTGGTGCGGATAAGACCTTCCTCCGAGTCCGTGGTACATGGAATAAATAATAATGACGTGGTGTCATTATTTTGTCAATCATTCTATGTCGAAAATTCTTTTGTAGGCTCATCTGAAATTTATTCAGGACAGCAAGTTTTTGAAACTCGATGAGAGTCCTTTACAGTTTTTCAACTATCGGTTTTTGAGTTGTGGACAACAAATCAAATCAAAAAAATGAAATTATGCTTTTGTTCTGCGGTTTAATAGATCCAAAATTAAATTCCACGTACAAGATGGATGACAGTCTTTAGCACTATTCTTACGCTGCCAAGCTAAGGAAGAAACCGTTCCTAGAGGGAGCTATTTTCTACGAGGACATTTCGGAGTCTCCTCCGTTCAGCTAATTTGGAAAGACAGGAACTTGATGATTCAGTTCAATTCACAATAATTCACAGTAACAATTAACATTGTTACTGATGACGTCACTCCGTATCACTATGGTATCATGTACGTAGGCCTTCACCGACTCCGAGCTACGGGCTCAAAAGGGAAAAACCCTGTGACAGGTCACCGCGCTAGCTTAGTTGGCCAATCAGTAAAAAACTGCGTGCGCGGGCTGGCACCGCCAAGTACTTACCGCTGCTGGAATGGGAAAATAATCATGAAGCAAAAGCTCAGCAGAAGAGCAGCGATTCTCGAGAATTCCAGTGGAGTATACCCATGTATAGGGTAGGGGAAACACAAACCACGCCATGACTTTCTGAAGTCCGGAATGACTTCACCCTTCAGTACAGGTAAGTAAAACAACTTAAAATTAATAGGGTATGCTCTTTTCGTGCAACTCGACTGAAGTTGGTGGTCGGTACAAACAGTAAAAGAACAATTCACAGAGCGTTTAAAAAATCCTATGCAGCTGTCAGAAAAAACAGATAATAATACAAAAACTAGTGAATGGCAAATCGGTGAAAACACAACCTCATTTAAATTACTGGGACAAATTTTGTCAATGAATTAATCTGGGGTAAAATCGAAAACAAGGTGATATTTCTGCCAACTTTGGCCGCCAGTACGAGTTGTCTATAGAGGATTTGCATAGCTGCTATCTTGCCGGCAGGCCAGTGCTTTTGTTCCACAGTGTATGCACAAAGGAGGTTTCCCCTGTGTAAAAAGAACTGCCTTACAAGATGGCTTACTATGTAAAGCCTCTATTGGCGTTTTCCATTGCTTGTGACATGGCACCGGTTTTCCTCACCGGTAATGCTTGTAAATATGCCAGAAGTTCCTATTTACAAAGAACGTCCCTCGTTTGCAAAAACTTGTTCGCTTACTAAAAATTAAGTTGCATTCGAAAATATATGGATGAATAAAATTATGTCCTCTGTAAATTGTCCTGCAATTTGTTAACCACAAGGTAATGTCAGCTAGCGAAAAATGAAGCCCTCGTTATGAACATTTATTGACTAAAATTACATTTTCAGCCATGCTCCTAACGAACATTTTGCCTGCATGTTGATCTGGAGAGGTCGATGGGAAACACAAATAACTCAGCGCTTAAGAATAACACGTTATTTGGTACTTGTACTAAAGGTAAAGTCGATCATTATAATATTTTTGCCCTTTATCTCCCTTAATTTAATAATGTATTTTTGGCGTATGGCTGTAGTCGTCTGCAGCTATGAGGTTTTTCTTGGTCGACTGACATGAAAACTACCCTTGTTTTCTACTCTCTTTTGTCTATTTTCATTTTGCAATCCTACGCTTCCCCAACCCTCTGCTTTCATCGATGCCTGGTCAGTTCCTTGCTTGCTTGACTTTGTCCTTTTGCTGGTGAGAAAAGTTCTAATAGAAACTTCAGGCTTACTATTCATTTCTATTAATTTTAATGTTCGAACTTGTACACGCTAGTTCATTCTACTCGAAGAGGCAGTATGCAGCAGTACAATGTAAATGTTTACTCTGTTCGTTATCTTGCAGTTTCTCTTTGACTCGCTCTGTTTTTCTTTCCCTAACCTTCAAAAAGTATCTTTCCTTAACACATATCCTCAGTACTTCATAAAAAAAATCAGCCAGCCAAAGACTATTGTAGTGACGAGGGTTATTTCCGTGTGTGTGAACCTTACCCTAATAACGGGACCATGCTTTTAGCACCTATAATTTCATTTTTTCTAGTTTGAAATCATGTTAATTTTTTTTTATGAAGAATACGTTCATCTCTTTACTGTACACAGGCGCATATTTATGCACTTCCTGGCAAGGCGGGGGCGGGTCATGCCAAGCTGGCTACAAATAATGGGTACATGTATCCACTACGAACACAGGGCGAGGGTTCCCCTCGTTCAAATGACGCAGTCTACATTATGAATTCGCATCTTGGCAAGAANCCCCCCCCCAAAAGCCCTTAAGCTCAATTGTTATAGTTAAGTTCTGAAGACAAATGACACTGCGTTCGATATGAATGCTTCCACGTAATCAAAGAAAACATGTTTTCCTCAGAGGTGCTTTTAAATATCTTGTGAACTCAGTGACAATCTGTGACGACTTTATTGCAGATTGACAAGAGATGGCGTCTGCAAAAAGGCCGATGCAAATGCTCAGGACAGTACTTGTCATGGTGGCATTATCGTTTGCATCCAGCTATCTGCTGACTGAGTCCAATGCGTACAACACCGCTTGCTTCGTCCCTCCCTCAGAACGGCCCTATGACGTAGACAAGGTCATTTTCGCTAGGGTTGTGCGAAGTAGTGTTTTGCAATCAATTATTCAGTTTCTTGACAAACCAGTCTTACTATAACATATTTGAAAATTGATGGTTGACCATACCAAGCCGCGACACAAACCAAATGATGGACCAGTCGACAGATCATGCGCCGACCACGAGATCCACTGACCCTCTAACTTCTAGGCCGACCGATGTACATGTACCCACCGACCGACTCACCGACCCACTGACCGCCCGTCACACCGACACGCTCACTGACCCACTAAATTGGCCTGTTTAAGGTATGGTGGATTCAATGGGAGGGCCCTATTTGGTTGAAGTAAAATCTTCGGTGTTCACTCAAGGGGCAAGTTCGGGCGCAAACTATAGTTCAACCAGTATACATGTAGTATAGTTGCTTTTTAAAAACGCGCACGCGCAATTCTGTTACACTCGAACGACCCAAGTCTGCTATTTTGTACCTTTTTGTCATAACCTCCAAAACGGTTCACCAGGGACGAAACTGGAAATTGACGAGACTTGGAAGTGTGGGGCTTGTGCTGGGTAGAAGTTTACAATCTAGCCTCTAGTCTCGAGAGAATCCCATTTGACGTTAGTAAACATCTTCGATACACTGGATGAAGGTTGAAAATCACTGCACAGGAACCAAGGCAGCTTGTCTAGTCTCTACATCCGCTGAAGGATGTCTCTCTGTGTATCGTGGTGCCCGGGTTACATGCACCAGCGTATTCAAGATGGGGTTGAACCTTTGTCTGGTATACGTTTTCCTTAACTGTTTGGAACATCACCTGAATGTCTCTGGATGATTTCCAGCGTTTTGGTGGCTTTGGTTGAGGCATATTCTGTCTACTTGTTCCATTTCAGATCATTCTGTAGGCCTATTATTACACCAAGATACTTGTCATGAGTGACATCCTCCATGGTTTCTCCAAGCAGTTTGTAGTTTGCTGTGTTTGTCCTTGAAATTCTCATCACCTTACACTTTGAGGCATTGAATTTGTACCCCACTGATTACACCATTTTACGAGACTATCAGAATCATACTGTAGAGATTTTTCATCTACCAATGAACATGGTTTTTATATAAGATGCGGTCGTACATATTGTAAGCATCCCATCGTTACATTTCACCGTTGGCTGCGATTCTCGCAGCGTACATTGTCATTGAAATCTCTGACCGTTATGAATGGTTCCCCTCATCCCCTCCTTCCTCCATGTTCCCCTGTAATAATAAATGAAGTATACATGAACTATGCAACGCGAAGCGTACTACTTTTAAGTATACTGTCACCGTTGATAATGGCCGCGGTCGATGATTGGAACAAGAAGCAAAGAAGTACGTCTGTGAAAGACTTCTACGACAAAACTGCTTGGCCCCGGACCCAACTCTGGCCCGTTTAACAGCGTATCTCCGGCTCCAACGCTCCCACGGGGTTAGTTGTGAATATTGATGTTTAACTACTATTTTGCATACAAAGGTCACGCCTCGGTTTGTAGGAGATTCCCAAGACGGTAGAACAAGCCGTCGATTGGTGAAATGAAGTCACAAGAGGGCGCAATAAAAACGGGCGCGGGTGGCGGCATAATGCTCGATCGAGTCCGCTATTGAGGTCTGCCGTCTTGGCCCAAAAGACTAAATAAACCATTCGTCGTTCGGGCGGTGTTAGTCGAACTATACTGACTACTACCGTCGTCGCTCGAACTTGCCCCACAGTTACACACTTAAAATAGCGCCCTCCTATTGTGTCGGCCAAGCTCTTCAATGGCAACAACTCAACCATTTTTGTTTCTTACCCACCCTGCAGTTATTCTTTTTGGAGATATTTCTGCCTCCAGTTCAGTTCAACTACTCCATCGAGTACCTGACTTTTCCCAGCGGATCATGTGAGTATTGGCGCATACAGCAGAAGCCATTGCTGCGGTCGCAATAGGCTGGTAAGCAGGTGGTTCGCGCGCCTTACACGCCTCATCGGCCATTAAGGTGTCGCCGTTGACCTCCATTGTAAAGTCTTTATAATGGAGATCAATGGGTGTCACGTATGTTCATGGCGCTCATTACCAAATTGCACGTGCGCAAGATTTGCACTTAACAACGGCATAGCAACAGGCTATGTCTGATTTGGCACGCTCTGATTGCAAAATGGAGCGTCATCTTTGTCAATGGATTTTCAGGAAACGGAACATAGATAATGATTTTTTTAGGACAAAGCCAAACTACGTTAATCGTTTTATTTTTCAGTAGCATTGATTTTGTACCCTGCCTCAAAAAAGTAATGAAAAATGTGGTTTTAAATAACCCCCAAATCATTTTATTTTTCACCTGAAAAAAAATGTCAAATTTGATAAATATCTATTAAAAGAATTTTCCTGGTTATAAAAGCTAGATTCATATAAACTAGAAGACTATCTTAATCGATGTCACCCAAAAATTGGGAATCCACTGGATAACAATTTTTGTGAAATGAGTTTAAATTTGAATTAAATGTTCACGCCAAATCGTGTGAATCCAGACATTTTGTAATGGAAAACTATGTCACATATCTCATGTTAAAACATTTATGTCCAAGTAAAACTTAATTCTCTTAGAGTCAGAAATTATTGCTTTTTCAAACTGTTGACACAAGGGCAGAGGCTTTTGAGTAACATTCTTGTAGTGGCGAGTCACGGGTCAAGTGCCGTCTTGTATGCGTGTTTACATGTGATACGCGTGACATGTACATGTTCATGCTCACGATCGAGCACGTGTTGGGGCGGATGCAATGACTCGATCCGACGTCTCGGTACCGCACTGGTCAGTGTCCACAGCAGTGGAAGTGATGAACAGGAAAGGTCACTAATTTAACGATTCTACCTTATGAAACGATATCAGTGCTAACGAAATCGGTACAATCTATAAGTAAATCATCATCCCCGTGTTGGACATACCATTTTGGTAATAAAAATGGATACAAAATGGCTTTGAATTTTCGAGCACCGTCGAAATGATATGAATTGGGAGTGATTCAAAATGATCTAATAATTAAAAATGTTATCCTGACCAGCGGATTCGAAATAAATGCCTGAAATCAATGCATTTAGAGTGAATCTTTAATTTGGTGGTAGATTTTTGTCTCAGAAAACTTGTTTTCTATTAACAATTCGTTGGTGACCATAGTGCAAAAATTTTGCAATTTCGATTTTTTTCGTTGTTAGAAAGGGTCCATAAAATTCACTTTTTTATACTGTTCTGAGATACTGTTATTTAAAATCTTACTAATGGAGGAAAATTGTTTTTATATATTTACACGTTGGGTAGAGGCAAACCTGTAATATAAATTAACATCTGCCCAGCATACATCTTGAAAATAATTCGCGGTACCCGCTGCTACACGTGACTCGAACCGGCCAGCAGAGCTGGCAAGCTTGGTGGTGGAGTGGTTGAGACGTCTCCACTAGTTAGTAGGAGGTCATGGGTTCGAGTCCTGCCCGAGTTAGCTTGTGATTTTTTTTTTCGTAAAATCCTGGACAAGCACTGAGTGTGCAGTGTTTATAAATGTGTACGTTGGGTAAGGGCAAAACCCGTAATTTAAATTATTGAATTTTGTTTTTCAGGTGGCTTGGACACGTTCCTGCATCTCCGACGTGTACATCTTTTGTTCCAGCTAGTGGATTTAATTCAGCAAGAAGCAAGACTAGTTTTTACCCACTGTGTGTTGGACAACCAACAGAACACGACGCCACCGTATACAATCACAGTTGTTTCATTACTCGATGTATTTGGTAATCACTTTGAGGAGCATGTTTGTTTGAATGGTCTGTAGACAGGATAATTACGGAAAAGAGTTGAAATGATGCCGCTGCAACTTATTCAATCACACTGAGGTCGTCCTCCCCACATGCAATAAACCTTGTTGACATGGAATGAGATCGCAAACGCGCCACGGTTTTGCGTGCGTTGACCTAGTAGTTGACAATTAGTAATTATTTTAAAGTGAAGCTGCAGCGAATGCGTCTTAGACACAATTTTACCTCAACTTTGTTTTCATCAGTGTATGAAAACTTGTTTATTTTTTTCTGTTTGTTAAATGCACTGAAAAGTGCATTTAATTTTAAGTAATTAAAATTTGAATAATTGTATTAAAAATGATTCCAGTTTTCCCTTAAGTACCTTCGAATCCGTATCACCGATAGATGCATGGGTTCAAGAGACGGTACAGTTTATTAGACACATCACATCATTGACAGTAATTAACAGTAAACAAAGACAACACTAACTATTTTTTATTGATTTACATTAATATAATGCAGACATTAGTCACAGCAAATTACTGTTTTTGTTGATTACTGATTCATTCTTCATGTTTATTCGCAGTCCGTGTACGTTCCGTTCATTCGTTTTACGATTTGGAAACGAAAAAAAAGTTTTCTTTTTATTTGAAAACGAAATACT